CCATGTGGAACAATACAGTGGTTAATTTTTCAATAGAAATTTTATTAGCATCAATTTAACTGGTTCTTAAAAGCCAATTAATTAATGTGAGTATTTAAATACTGAATCACAATACAATGGTTCATTTTTTCAGAAGAAACCTACTTAGCATCGATTCAACCGGTTCTTAAAAACCAATTAATTAAAGTGTATATTTAAATACTAAATCACCTAGACAATGCTAATATGATTAGCGAAATATAGTTAGAACCCACATTGTGAAGTTATCTATCTATTATATACTAAAAGTTCATTAAACTTCCTACAAACACTCTCAAACTGCCATGTGGCACCCTACAAACGCTCCTAAGCTGCCACGTGGCAGAAAAAACATCTAACCACCCTACAAACGCTCCTAAGCTACCACGTGGCAGAAAAACATCTAACCATCGATTTTCATTTAAATTGGTGGACCCATTCTTTGAACCATTAGATTAGTAAAAAAAAAACAACCAATCTACCTCTAAACTGGCCCCACCCTATTTGTATGGACGTTCGTGTAGGTACGTACTCCATACCATCTTATGTTCTTCTCTTTTCACTCTATTATCTTTCTTATTTTCCTTCTGTTAGATGGAAAGCAAAATTTATATAAAAACATTTAAGTAACTATAGTATTCTTTTTAGAAACACAAAACAAACGCAGGCATTCACAACACGCGCACACTCATCCCTTAGGACGCACACACGTATACCCTACCCCCTATGAACACCATCGAAAACATTTAAATCATATATGTATTCTTATATGCTTATGTTGTTAGATTATTTATATAGTATCTAAATCATACATGTATTTGATCCGCTTATGTTGTAAGATAATTTATCATTAATAAATTTACAGTTAAAAACCCATATTTACTATAAAAGTATGTCATTATTATGGATAAAAAAAATTGAAATGTTACAGCGTATAATTATCTTAAAGAAAAAAATTACCTCCTAAAATTGGGCCCACCTAGGCATGTATGTACATACGTATGTTACTTTTTCTAAGAAAAAATATGACATCTTTTCTCCCTGTTACTTCTCCTATTTTCATGTTTTATTAGTTAGAAAAGCAAAAAATTATTTTTTATAAAATCTAAATCATATAACTAATTTTTATCCGCTTATATCTTATGACTAAATTTACAGTTGAAGAACAAATTTAACTATAATTCAACTTTGAAAAGAAATGTCATTTTGGGTTTTATTTTCGGACTTTTGTGTGTCACTCAGGCAATTATAAAAAATATGAAATAATAATAATAATAATAATAATAATAATAATAATAATAATTATTATTATTATTATTATTATTATTATTATTATTATTATTATTATTATTATTATTATTATATCATCGTACATAACTTCATAATTAAATTAGATCTGCAAAAAAAGTAAAATGAATATAACTATGAGCAATGCTGCCAAACTTATACTAAAAAATAAATAACTATAACATCTAAATCACGTGATCCGTTTATTCTATATTCACTGTAATTTAGCTTTTCATATGCCACTTCGGGGTTATATTTTTTTTTAACTTTAGCATGACATTCAAACAATTATGAAATTATGAAAAAAAAAGATATAGATTTTATCGTTCTATATAACTGCACAATAATTAAATTAGATCTATAATAATAGAAGTAAAATGGCAAAAGGACTAAATTGAATTATTTGGAGAAAGTCTAATAAGTTCAGAAAAAAATTAGTTCTTACTTTTTACTACAATTGATGTTTCAATTTCATAACAATTTTTAAATACTTAGATATTAATGGCCTTACATCTATACTATACCATACCATAGCATTATGAGTTTTTCCACATATTATTACATATATAAGAAGCCACACTAAGGTCGCAGTGTATGCTAAGTATGTAATAACTTGCGTCAATAAGAACCAACCAAAAGGATGACTAACTTGATTCTACAAATAAAACATATTTATTAATAATAAAAGTTTTTTTATTTGTTCAAAAAATGCCACTAAACATTCAATTAAATAAGACAAAACACCTTACTTTTAAATTATAAATGTTTCCTAAACAAACTAAATATAGCTCTGTACTGAAGAAATCATAGATAATTATTTATTGCGATGTTTTAAATATCATATATTTTAAAAGCTAACAAATAGTTTGGAAAAATTATCTAAACAATGCGATGTAGAAAATTTACTGAGAAATAGTGCTTTTCAAACATGGCATGTATCATCTGGTTGATATTCCGTCTATATAAGTTTTTCAAACGCAATCTACCATACATGTCCGCGCATCGCGCGGGCTACCTTTCTAGTTGTTATAAAAAGTCCACTTCATCATTTATTTTTAACACTCGCCTTAATGATTCAGTTATGTACATAATCTTTTCTAGCCTACATAAAATAGTTTTTTATGTTGGGTACTCCCTCTGTTTCACAATGTAAGTCATTCTAGCATTTCACATATTCATATTGATGTTAATGAACCTAGGCATATATGGGAAATGCTAGAATGATTTACATTGTGAAACGGAGGAAGTAGCAATTTTGAAAATACAAAGTACGCACCAACATATAGCAATGGACGGGACAAAATAGCGTTGATTACAGGCAGCCCGAAGGCAATGTGCAAAAAACAAATTAAGTACTCGATAAAATAGCTCTGATATTGTGTGCATGGAAACTAAACGGAACAACTAACAGTTAAAGTTCTACCTTATATATAGACTATTTTTCTACTATGCTCGGTTATACTTTGGGCCGGTCAAGTTATTTTTCTTAACTTTAATTTATCAAATTATTGCCACATATGCTCTATTAGACATTTAGCAAATATCTTTATTTAGTACCGTTAAACACATTGGTGTGGTCCTTAATTAATTAATGGGTGACACAGACATATATTTACCTAGAAAAGAGACATTTTACTGAGCTTGCATTGCTGGAATTTATCATTTAAGATGGCAAAGTAAAAGGCCTATTTAAATTAAAAAAAAGGAAATAAAATGCAATGGACCTGGTTTGCTTCCTAATCTGATAAATTAAGCTCAACTCTTGGTTTTGCATTTATAGTTGCATCATTCACCCTTCCATCACCAGATTTTTTAAGGAAACCTTCCATGATCACCTTTAATCTGCTATATATATAAGATAGCCATGTTAATTTCCCAGATTGTGCAGAAGCACTGCATGTACTTCTGGTAAAACAAAAATAAAAGCGACACTTTCATAATTTGCAGAATGATTAATGAAAACGATACTAATTCGCTGCGTCGACGGACAGGAGCCTGAAACTTGGCCTGGTGACCAGGAAGAATCAGAGGTGCGTCGGAGGTACAGCTGCAGCCGATAGATAGCGCTGATCAACCAGCAAGAAACCTGCGCGCAAGAATCCGCCGAGTTGGATACCCCTGCAATCCAATCCACACCAGGTAACATGCTTCAACCAGGCATAATCGTGATAACATCACAACAGCCACGTACGCGAATCGAGCGTCTTAGACCGGTACGTACGCAGCGAAATGATCCAATCGTAATGACCACACAACAGATTGGATTGGTTGCCAATACGTACGTGGGCTTTTGGAACATGCACATGTCAAAAAAAAAGCCCGCGTAAAACATACTCGTACAATCTACGGTGATGGTGTTACGATCTATACAATTAATATCGTCGGATTTTTCTTGTAAACGTGAGAGCTTATAAAAAATAGTATAGATAGCTCACATCATTCGCAAACATCATAAAATTAGTTTTAGGTCTTCTTCCATCCTTAGAAACGAGGTACCAAAACTAATCTTTTAAAATTAGCATAGTGGTCCACACAAAGTTAACATTAAATTTGTCAAACCATATGATCGATGCTACAGAGGCATTTTTAAAAAGATGATCGAGAGATTTTATTAAAGAACGAGTTGTACTTTTGGATATTGGCCAAAGTTTGCTGAAATATACTCCCTCCGTATTTTAATGTATGATGCCGTTGACTTTTCGACCAATGTTTGACCATTCGTTTTATTCAAAAATTTTGTGCAAATATGAAAATATTTATGTCATGCTTAAAGAACATTTGATAACAAATCAAGTCATAATAAAATAAATGATAATTACATAAATTTTTTGAATAAGACGAATGGTCAAACATTAGACAAAAAGTCAACGACGTCATGCATTAAAATACGGAGGTAGTAATAAAAATAAAGCACGTGCTTCACTTGCCTATCATCATCATTGAGAGAGAATCTATTCTATACCATTGAGTTTATTCGAGTTCAACAATTTACCATCAACATTGTCTCTTTCTATAATATATCAACGACTTTATCAATTGTTCTACAATACGCCATTGAGCTTCTTTCCAAAAATACCTAAAATACCTTTAGAAACATACAAGATTAACAATTGATTTATCTCGTTAGAAGTTTCAGAAAAATATGAAAATTTTTATGTGGCCTCGTTACACAACATGGAAGTTTGTATACATGTTTCAAGTTTTTCTGGTATATTTAATTTTTAGAAAAAAAAATATTTTTATATGGTATATGAGAGAAAATTTGCTTATATGAGAGATAATAGCACAAAATATCTTATGTAGTGTATGAAAGATAATTTATATTAAAAACATTAATAAAAAAGGATCTTATATAGCATATAACAGATAAGTTATATTTTCTAAAAAATATAAATGTAAAAAACTTAAAACTTCTATACAAACTTCCATGTTGTGTAAGGAGGCTATATAAAAGTTTTCATATTTTTTTGAAACTTCTAATAGAATAAATCAATTATTAACCTTATATATCCATAAGGGTATTTTGGGTAATTTTGAAAAGAATATCCAGCCCAGTGGCGTATGGTAGAACAGTTGATTAAGTCACCGGTATATTATAGAAAGAGACAATGTCGATGGTAAATCGTTGAACTCAAACAAACTAAGTGGTATAGAATAGATTTTCTCTCATTGAGAATGATGATTCTATAAGAACCCATATGCAGCCACCCTCGCCGTGCATCCCCAATCCCTACAGTGAAGGCACAGAGATTAGCTTCCAACACTATTAATTTCTCACCCCAACCAACAAGCCTATAGCCATGGCTCATGAGCTGATCCCGGCCCAAACTACTTCGAGTACTCATAAGCATCTCAATCTAGACTTGTTTTTGCACCAGGCGTACTCTGGGCCAAACAAGAACCAACAGGTGCTGATAAAGCCAGGTGGTAATTACTTACAGCCAGGTGGTAATTACTTACAGTTTGGTGTGCTAGCGGTTCATGATTGGCCTCTGTATGATGATGAAGACCAATCCAAAGGGAAACTCGTCGCTCGTGCACGGGGTCATCACATGCAAACTGTCCAGGAAATGGTTGACCAGTGGTTCACTACTGGCCAGATCGTCTTCGTCGACGGCTCAGAGTACGTTCAGTTTCTTTCCTCCTCCTGCATGTGCCTGCTAGTGAAATTGGGTTTTCATTTTACAAGTTGTTTGACTTTTTTTATAGTCAAATTTCTTTCAACTTTGGCTATGTTTAGTTCACACTAAAATTGGAAATTTGGTTGTAATTGAAACGATGTGACGGAAAAGTTGGAAGTTTATATGTGTAGGAAAGTTTTGATGCGATGGAAAAGTTGGAAGTTTGAAGAATTATTTTGAAACTAAACATGGCCTTTATAGAGAAATATAAAAGTATTTTTAACACAAAACAAATGTATTATTAAAATATATTTAATGTTAGGTTTAATGAAACTAATTTGATATTTTAAATGTTGCTAAATTTTTTCTATAAACTTGATCAAACTTAATAAAGTTTAACTGGGGAAAAAATTCAAACGACTTATAATACATACATACATCTATGTGTGTATGTATCTATCTATGTGGATTGGATATTTGATTCACAATACATACATACCACTTCGTGGACATGCATGGATTGATGGATATATCGACATATACGTACGAAGGTTCGTGGGATCCACGCTTTTAGTTGCTGGGACTTACACAACTGGTCAGAAAGGTGAGTGGGCTATCGTTGGCGGCACAGGAAAATTTTCGCTTGCACAAGGTGTAATACACAAGGAAATGGTGAGGACTAATCCAGGCACTGGGGAGGTCAGATTGCTTCAAATCCGCGCCAAGTACAGCACTGTGGAATCATGTGTAAGTATATACAAATTTGGCATCCGAATTTATGTATCACATAGCATGGCGGAAAGTATTTTCTACACCTAGATGCCATGGCCGAATTTCTGTATCACTATGCATGTAATTTAAACAGTTATATAAAAATATCATAAAATTTGATAAAATAGACCATAATAATATAAGATACTAATATGTAAGTCTAAATTCGATCGATATATAAAAAACAAAAATAATAAATTTTATCCGCACTGTACGAGTACTATTCACTGTCTGATTTTATTATTTTTGGTTCTCTAGTTGTAGATCAAATTTAGTCCTGCATGTTTGTGTATAGACTTGTATCATCACAAACGATGTTACTATTTTTTTTCAATTTTTTCTATAGCTATTTGTGTCGCATGCAAATGATGAGTGACATGGTATCTAGGTGTAGAAAATCCTTGTCCCAGAGCATAGGGAAAGCACCATTGACATAGTGGTGGAATCAAACAGGGTTTAAATCTTGATGACAACAAATATATATAGTTGCATGTGTTTTTAAGTAGGTTCAAAGATTTTAAAAAGAGCATAATACAATACAATAAAGAGGCCATAAGTGATTTAAAAAAACATGAGAGGAGCTTATACGAGCCCAAAACTCAACGATCAGTGCTAGGAGTACTTTTTACCAACTGGCAAGAGAGACTACGATTTAACTTAGCATTTGTTATAATTGTGGCACCACATTTTTCCTTCTCTTGCAAATTGCTAAAAGAGTAAATTACACGCACGGTGCAACAACTTGGTAGTTGGGTGCAATTTGGTGTAATAACTTGAAAAATGAGCATTCCAGTGCAACAACTTGGCAAGAAGGTGCAATTTAGTATAAGAACTTTATAAGTGATCGTATAAATGCAACGACTTGCAAGTTAGGTACGATTTTGATATAATAAATTAGGAAGTTGTGTGACAACTTAATTATTTGGAGCATTTTTTTATATAAATTCAAATTTTTAAGTACTTATTTTGACAAAATATTAGCGTGGATTTGTATAAATATATTTATATTTTTATCCTAATAACTAATAACTGAAAGTCAATTAAACTGTATGTAGAAATTATTATATTTTGGTGGATATTTGAGAAGGTGAAGAAAACAAAAAAATTCTTGAAGGTAACTGAATGTAAATTATATGTGCAACATAATTCTTAAAGATTAAATTCAATATTATAAGGTAATATCCGTAGGATTACTGTGTATTGGCATATTGACATCGTGAAAAACCTCACCTAGAATATGCTTAGCCAAATTGATTCACCAAAATACTAAATTGTCAAGTTCTTATACTAGAACGCATATACTTCTCAAGTTGTTGCACTCGGACGTTCAATTCTCAAGTTCTTGCATTATATCGCACCCACCTGCCAAGTTGTTATACCGTGGATGCAATTTACTCTTGCTAAAATATTGTCGCAGGCTTTTTTTATTACAAAACTTTCAAATGTAACTATAAAACTAATATAGTTATTATAGTATAAATAAAATATAATTACACTTCATTTACATGGAACGTATCCTACATACACAAGCCTTCTCGTGTACACATCAACTAAAAAATATCACAGAAATTCTAGAAAAAATTGTATATATACTTTTAGTATATTATTGTATCTATGTATAAAGTTCTATCTTCAAATTCATTATATAGAGAGAAAAAAAATACAAAATTCTAACAACTCTTAAAACTTTTTATGTACACAGCATACACACCAACAAATTTCAACCAAAATACTAAAAAAAAATTATGCATGTACTTTCGATAGTATTACATGTTTGTGTAAAGTGTTACCTCAAATTTATTATATTTTAGCCGTAATAAAAACAATTTTGATAGTTTAGGAGTATAAATCTATCAAATTTTAACTTTGTTTACTCCCTATATATAATGAATTTATATAGATATAAATATTACTAAAAACATATATAATTTTATTTTTAGATTTTTTTAATAGTTTTTAGTTCGTGTGCACGATGCATATACGAGAAGGATTATGTATAGGATACATTCCCATCAATGTATCGGCACTATTCCTTCGTACCTTCATGTCGATGCAAGTCATCAGGCACTGGGTAACTCTCAGTGCATGCAGTGTTGACAATTTTTTTTTTTTTTGGGGGGGGGGGGGGGGGGGGGCATGTACAATAATAGTCTTGACCTAACACGAAAATAAATTATATGATGCAGTGTGAACAGAATGCTGAAGACAAACAAAAGAACCATGACATAAGGTTGAAAACATTGTTGGAACAGTTTGCAAGATATCGTGAGTGGATTGAGAGAGAACCTTCTGCCTTGGTTAACTTCATCGACTACAAGGCTTCAGAGGTAGATGCTGCAATCAACGATACCAACAGGCATCTTCTTGGAACAGGTGGATTTGGTACTGTGTACAAGGCAGTCATTCGTGGCGCAACAGTTGCCGTGAAGATTACCAACGAGATAAGCCACCGAGGAGTGCGGGCGTTCGCTCAAGAGGTAAATAGGTAATTAAGTGCGGAGTTCTTTTATGGTGCTTCATCTATAGAGATAAGAGAACCATGGCAAATCATAACCGTGGATTATTCACGTCTCATAATAATAACAACATTTTTTCTCCTTAATTTGAAAATACAATTTCAAAATTGTTTTATTTGTATTCCGGATTTTCATTAATCTCGTGTTGTGTTGATCTAGATAGACTCTTCTTTCTATATTCTCTATTTTTATTTGCAATTTTAATTATTTCTAAATTATATTCTTAATTGAACTTTTTCATTAATACGAGAATTTCTAGCGCCTAGATTAAGTTTTAGTATATCATTTTATTTTGTAATTATTTTTAAGTTTATTTGGAATTCATATTAAGTTTATCTCTAGAGCGAACGCGGTGTCTCCTTTCAAGCCTATCTTAGGTGTTAGTTTACAGGGACTTATTCGCTTTCTTTGATTAATGTAAGAATTTATAGGCTTTGAGAACAAGAAAATTTTTGCTTTCTTTGATTAGTGTAGGAATTTATAGGCTTTGAGAACAAACATGGAGACTTCTTTTTATTTTACTTTATAATAAGACAATACATAAATTATATACGATATCTAGTCAAAACTATTGTACAACCTCCTCTTAAATTCAACCACAATAACTTTGACATGCTATCATCTAACAATTATTATCTTTTGTTATTGTTAGAATTTCGAAACCTTGAGAACAATCTTCTTTTGTAGTTATCTTTTTTAAGAAGATAAGGTATTACGACCATGTGTAGATTTTCTATCATATTATCATTATTTTATAATATTTTTTCGATTAACATGGTAATTTTTGGTCTCTAGAACAAAAACGTGGATTTTTCTTCAAGCTATCTTATTTAGATAATCCTGACTCTTCACCTTACATCAGTTACAAATATTCAGCTATACTGTCCAAGCATGGAAGACTGTCACGTTCACGTACGCATGCATGTATTGTGTATTTATTAATTAATTAGTTGATGATGTCATTATTAGAGATTAATACATGGAAAGTCCTTAATTAATTAGCTAGGACGCCATCAACACCAACCAATACCGGAGCTATGGTGGTACGTGCTTGATGAGGATTGCTAATATAGCATATATACTAGCAAAATACTCGTGCCTCGCTACGGATAAATTATTTCTTAGGATAAATATTCCCTCCATCCCATAATATAAGGCGCGCACGTATTTCAAGATTCAACCTTTAAAACATTTGACCAACACCTAGTATAAAATGAAATGAATTTTATTTGTTAAAAATTATATCATTAGATTAAGATTTAAGTTTACTTTCATATGGTTATAATTTTGTTGCTATAAACCTTATAGTATACGAGAAATTATAAGCTAAAAAATAGTTGTGGAGACCGTGCCAACTTTGACCGCGCCTTATATTATGAGATAGATGGAGTATTGATTAGAAATTTTAATAATAATTAGGATGGATAAAAACCACTATTGCATATTGATATCCTCATGTTCTCATAATGCTCAAGACGAGTGTGGATGGTCCGACGATCAAACGGCGGTAAGGACTGTGGTAGGACGTGTCCCACAATTGGACTCATCTATTAATGGTCGGCGTTGAGGACTGTGGTAGGATGTGTCCCACAATTGGACTCATCTATTGATGGTGGACATTGGTAACGAAGAAAACCAAAAAAGCATAAACGCGACTGACAACATGGTAGAGAGAGAGAAACGACTATGGTGACCTCCGGGTCTGATCTGGATCGCTCATTTTTTGTCCGGTCCAATCTGGTTTTTCTTATAATAATACACATGGTTTTTGCTGAGTTTTTTTTTGGCCCGATCTGGTTTTGTAATAATACACATGTTGCATAATACACATGGTTTTTTCAGGTTTGATCCGGGTCACTCATTTTTTTCCGTCTGATATGGTTTTTCTTCTAATAATACACATGGTTGATCTTTTTTTTTAATAATACACATGGCTTTTCTACTACGATCCAGGTCGTCAAGTTTTTTTTCTGTCCGATCTGGTAATTTTTGTTCGGGTCGCTGGTGGATGGTTTTTTTTTGGTTTGATCTTGTTTTTTTGGTCGTGTTGCCAGTTGATTGTTTTTTCCAGTCCGGTTTGGTTTTATCCGCGTATAACACAGATGACGGATGAAAATTAAGGTGAGTACAGAATATCTTCAATTTTTATAAAAGGTAAATATAAAGATTAGGTAACTATTTAGGATTCAATCCTTCGTGTGCACCAAGAAAAAACCAGAAAAAAAAATCGTGACCCACTAAAAAATCGGACGAAAGAAACCAGACAAAAATAATTTACGGAAGCCTTACTTATTTTTAAATTATATATATAGAGAGAGAGAAAGGAAAATGCAAATATGAGCTCGGGTGCATATGTACCTGCAATCTCTCCCGTCCAGCCACGCAAAGATTCGTGCGTACATGGTTAAAGGGTGGCGCCGCAGCCTAGCTTGCTTAAGCAGAGAGCAGATGGGAGTTAACGCAAGGGAGAGACATTCAGGCCACTTTAAATCGTAGGAATAAAAAAACAGATAAATAGAAAAAATACAGGATTCTGACAGAAATATAATTATAAAACAGAGGATTATAAAACACAGAAAAAACACAAGAATAGCGTTTGATTGGACCACAGGAAAAACACAGGAATCAGATGAGAGAGATAGACTCAGAGGAAATGTTCCAAGAGGTTAGACCTCTTGCTAACTTTCCTCCAAAATATGTATAGGATTACCCATTCCATAAAAATTTTAATGAATTAGATAGGATTCACATTTGTTTAAATTTTTTTTTCTAAAGGATTGAAATCCTCTAAAATGGCCCTCAAGTTGTACAAACGTACACAGAAACATAACAAAATCCCCTTAATGCCCATGCCAGCTGAGGATCTCATGATGAGGGACTCGACGATGTTGACTACACATTGCAGGTAACACATGAGTTGACAACACCGTAAATGATGGACTCAAGACAGCATTGCAGCAGACGGCAATACAGCATGCATGCAGCATCTGTTCGGATGCTGTATCATGCATGTAGCATGCGACAGTTCACTCGTTTATGTTTTTTCATGCCCCAGGTTACGACATTTGCTCAAAAATGTATAATATAAAACGGATGGAGTATATATATAAGCTCTAAAATACTATATAAGCATATAAATCCCTAAACATTTGCTAAAAAAAATTAAGGAATAAGAGAAAAAGAGATGAGTGGATTGGCGACAAGTGTATTATAGGCAATGTATTGTATATGTTGATGTGAATAAAATGAAAGATGATCACTACCTATTTTACTCCCTTTATCCGATGTACAATATAAGGTATTTTACACTTGGCACGGTCTCCAAAACTAATATTTGGTTTATAACATCTCATATACTACAATATTTGTAGCAATAAAATTATAACCATATAAAACTAAATTAAAATATCAATCCAATAATATTTTTTAGTAATAAAATCAATTGATATAATACTATTTGTAAGTCAAATATTTTAAGAAAATAAACTTCACATCCTCATATCCGTAGCCGTTGTATGCTTTGCTTGTTTTTTTTCAGCTTTTGACATTCAACTGAAAATTATCATTAAAATCTGTCAAATGTAAACAATGTAATTTTAATAATTACATTATATTTGTATTATAATTTCATACCCCATGTAACTAGCATATAATTATAAGCATATAATTATAGGATAAATAGGATGTAAGTTGATATAAGTCATAAAAACCATAATAGCCTGGTGGAAGTGTCATGCGCCTGCACCCCATGAAAAAAAAATGGTACTACCTCCATATTTTAATGTATGACACCGTTGACTTTTTATCCAACATTTGACCATTCGTCTTATTAAAAAAATTTATACAATTATTATTTATTTTATTGTGACTCGATTCATCATTAAATGTTCTTTAAGCATGATATAAATACTTTCATATTTACACGAAAATTTTGAATAAAACAAATGGTCAAACGTTGGTCGAAAAGTTAACAGCGTCATACATTAAATTAAAATACGGAGGGAGTACGTAGTAAGATGCATCCGTGGTGCCAGCGAGCACAGGAAAAGATGTTTGCATTTTTTTTCTATTTGGGTGTCTTGCACTTGTACATCAAAAGCTTCAGGAAGGAGTACTGCACATGATCTGCTCTTGTGCATCGGTGGAAAAATCACATTTTATACGCAGGTTACTACAGGTGGCCACGTGTCAGTCATCCATCTAGGTGCACGTGTGCTCGCGCGTCCAAATATTCCAAAATATATATATATATATATATATATATATATATATATATATATATATATATATATATATATATATATATATATTAGTTACTGCCTTTCTTCTTTTAATCGGAATCCAAACCGTTGTCGGTAATTTTTTTTTGGAGTTTGATGGTAATCGAGCAGACCACTTTGTATTCCTACGTTAGCACTACAACTCTAATGTCTAACTATATACGTATATACGTATTAGATCTTAACCGTTGAAATCTAGATATATTATAATCCAATGGTTAAATTTTTTTTCCTTTTTCTCCGATTAATGTGAGAATTTCTAGCCCCCACAACGAACGTGGTGCCTCCTTTCAAAGCTGTTTTAATAATATAATAACTAGCTAGGTGGCCCGCGTAATTACGCGGCTAGTATCCATACAAAATTATTTACATATGAGTTTACTTAAAATTTGTTAAATAGCTTCCTCGTTATATTAGGATTTAAAAGACTGAACCTTATCATCTCTATTTTTCTAATTTTATAGTTTTTTAAAGTCACACTTGCCGCTACCTCTTGCTCTTTTTTCACACATTTATTTGCTTGCTCGATCTACTACGGCATCTATTCGTCCTCCTTTGAACTTTAAAATAGAACCTTATAAATTTTAGACTTAATCAACTCATTGGCTTTCATTTTTATAATTTTTAGAAGTCCCATCAAACGCCGCCACTCTACTCCACTTATGCACGTCTGTCTCCTTCTCTCTTTATCGTCATTTGGATTTTAAAAATCGAATATAATGATCGTCGGTGTTCACTTTTAACTTTGTAGAAGTCCCACCAAGCCATAAGCAAGTTAGCCATTATACTCCTAAACGGCCCATCCGATGTCTTCCCTTTTAATTGTCATTGATATTTTAAAATTCGAACGTGATTCTCATTATGGTTTATTTTTTTACTTTCCTGCTAACCATCATGTTTGTGCTGCTTAACAGGTTATCCGTCATCTCTCCTTTTAATCGTCATTGGGATTCTATTAATTTGTGGTTTTGTTTATTATTTTTACCCTTGTTGTCTTCCCTCTTTAATATCATTGAGGTTTATTTTTTTACTTTCTAGAAATCCCGCCAACCACCGTGATCGTACTGCTTAACGGCATGTCCGTCGTCCCTCCTTTTGATCGCCATTGGGATTCTATTTGGGTTTTGTTTATAGTTTTTGAATGTCCCATCAACTGCTGTCACTTTACTCCTTTACGACTTTGTTGCTTCTTCCCTCTTTATTGTCATTCGTTATTGTTGCGTTTTCTAGATGGATGGTGTTTATTGAAAATTCTATATTTTTTATTCCGATATTATATTATTTATAAATTATATTTATACTTGAACTCCTATAATTATTTTTATATTTTCAGAATTTAATTTGATTTTTATTTCAAATTTTAATTAAACTTATGTTATTTTTATTTTATATTTTATTCTGAATTCTAATTAATCTCGTATTAGGTTCTTATATGTACTCTTCATTTAATATTGCTTATTTTTAATTCCGAATTTCAATTATTTTTAATTTGTATTCCTACTTAAACTCTTATGTCCTTTATTTTTCTAATTTTGGGTTTTATTTTATTTTTATTCTAAATTTTAATTAATATCGTATTGGGTTCCTATATGGACTCTTCTTTCAATATTAATTATTGTTTATTCTGAATTTTAGTTATTTTTAAAATGTATTCCTACTTGGACGCCTAATGTTCCTGGTCCCTTTGCTCATGCATACATGATATTCTTACATTGTTTTATTCCAACTGTATTGGTTATTTGATTTTTTTTATTTCTACCTTGAGTTAACGTGTCCTACACTGATTAGATTTGTACTCTGGATTTGATTACAGGACCTCCATGCAAATATGTCCGACTCTTAATCCTAATCATAAAGGTTTAATTAACTTGCCATCACTGTATATAGAATAGGCCGGTCCCAATTTTAGTCGTTTTCTAGTTGGACTTCGATATTTTTCATGTGTTAATCTGCACCATTGAAAAATCTAAACAGCTACAATCTAACGATCAAAATATTTTCTCTTTTTCTTCGACTAATGTGGGAATTTCTAGCCCCACAGCGAACGTGATGCCTCATTTCAGAACTGTTTTAATAATATAATATATAGATAGATACTAGCTCAACTAGTTCGTATCGTACTTGCTATGTTTTCTTAATTGTTTCTCCATTGATGCACCTTTTTCATACAAAATGTTTTTTTACAAACAGCAATTTTGCCCAAAATATAAAGGTTTTCTTGCATTCTTATTCTTTCTCATATATGACACTACAACGCAGATTGAGATCCTCAGGAGAATCCGACATCCAAACCTGGTCACCCTTATAGGAGCCTGCACTGAGAAACTCGCACTCGTTTGAGTATTTACCTAATGGTACCCTTCAAGATCGTCTCTCAGAAGAACACAGAGAATCTTTCTCATGGGAAGAAAGAGTTAAAGTGGCTGCCAGCATATGCTCTGCTCTTCTGTTCCTCCACGAAACAAAACCTAATCCAATTGCCCACGGTGATCTTAATCCCAGCAACATCCTTTTCAACGCTGAAAATGAATGCAAGCTCTGCGACTTTGGAATTTCCCGCCATTTAGAGTATACTCAACACACAGCAACACCTCTCCATGGAACAAAAGAACCAAAGGGCACTTGGAAGTATATTGATCCGGAGTTCGAGAGTTCAAAACAATTGACCCCTCAGTCAGATGTGTTTGCTTTGGGTATCATTTTGTTGCAGCTAGTAACAGGGCAAAGTGCAGTGTTTTTAGAAACATATTTATCCTATAGTTCGGCAGGTGTAAATTTGGAAACACAGAATACACCCAGGCAAAAGTTGCTCAGGACACTGGAAATCGTGGACAGCAAACTGAACTTGGAAGACAAGTACGCAGGACACGTTGTACAAATGATATACCTAGGCCTGAAATGCAGCAGTAATGACAGGAAACAGCGCCCGGACTTGGCGACTGAAGTATTGCCCAAGATTGAAATGATGAAAGGCTAGGCCTAATGAGGATCATATTGAAGATACTTAATAATAATAATCTTGTGTAAGGATTCATCTATGTTTTTTTTTTTTGGTGCGGGGATTCATGTATGTGTTACTGTGTGTTGCTGTGTGTTAATTATCTCCCATGTTATCGGTTGCAAGTTGGGCCCGGCGCTTCTATTGCATAGAGTGCGAACCGAGCGCGTCATAGTCGAGTCGTGCACCACGATCGGGGGCGTGTGGGATGGCACACGCCGTGAACCGATCGTGGTGCGCATAGTGGAGGATCATGGTGCTTTGCATGTCTTTGTCTTTCCTTTTATATTTGCAATGAGAAAAGAACAGAAAAGCTGCCGCTTCATCGCAGCACCAAACACCCTGTGTTCTTGGCCCCGTTCATCATCTAGTCTTGTGTTCGAGCAAAGGTTGGTAGCTAGATCTATGATCTATCGATAGGGGTTCGCTAACATTCTGCAACAAATATGATATTATGTGACAAAAACCATATGACGAACATGTAAAACATCATTGATTTACGACCTATTTTCTAGAAAATCTTATGAATATTGGCATCGGTTGATTTTAATTAATGACGAATTACGAGACATTTTGTCGTACGAGTTCGGGTAGCTCACAACACGACAGAGCTTTTTGATAGAACTAGCTGTCTGTATAGTTCTCGTGATCCCACAGTTAACCATAATTCTTGTAAGTATGAGAAATATGTCGTCGTGGAGGAGACATTATTTGTCATAAGATGAGTTCACCTTCAGATTAGAATTCATATTAGAGACATGCAATGGTGAGTTGAATTCTGTCTGCACCTTGTAGCTCTCGCCTCTCGGCCGCCACGTAGACAGACTTGATCCAGCAAGCATATAAACGAATCCTACTCGTTTATTTGGGCCGAAAGCCCAAAATGTTGGCTCACAAAAGCATATGGGCTAGGATACGCCCATCTTACTATATGGGCTGCAATTAGGCCCGTATATGTATATGGGCTTTCGGCCCAAATAAACGAATCCTACTCGTTTATATTCCAAACCCTAACTAATTGCATCGACGAAGGCCACTTCCCTCGCCGCCGCCGCCGCGGTTGCCGCCGGCGACCACGTTGCCCCCACGCCGGTGGCGCGATGGACGTTCCGTTGCCCGGCGGGAGCGTCGACCAGTCGGAGGACTACTCCCCGGCGGCCACCGTGGTCCGCTTCGACCCGCCGCTCCCGCTCCTCCGTGCGCCCGTCCCGTCGTCTGCCGCATCCGGCGAGCCACCCGTCCTCGCCTTCCGCGACGCCGCGAGCTGGCGCGCCGCGTGGGAGGCCGCCGAGGCCAGCCTCCTGTCGCAATGCGAGGTGAATCCCCCTTCTCCTCCGTGACCTATTGGCAACATTGTAGGATTTTACTATTTCGGAGTAGAATTCGTTATGTGGAAAATGTGAGTTCTCGGTTAGTTTACAGGTGCGGCTATGAGCAATGCAAATAATTTGCTGATGGATTTGGGTGTATTAAATATTGTTCCATTGGCTAATGCAAGTAGTTAATTGGTTCTAGAGCATCGAAAGATTTTTACTTAATAGTTTACTGATGGATTTGGGTACATCAGGTATTGTTCCATTGCCTAGTGTATGGTTTTTTTGTGTTGATGATAAAGGCAATTTAATAAGTCCAGTGCAACTCTGCAGTTAGAATTATTTCCCCTGAGATTGTGATTCATTTTGCAGCTGGCCGAGTTGCCTTGCGCTAGTTATGCTAGGCAATAAGTTTAGCAGCTGCATACATCAAACAGAGCAAACCAGCTCCTGGCTACTGGAGATTAGTGGTTGGGGTTGACAATGCTCCACAACATTGTACATTCCACAGGCTGTGTTACTTTTGCACAGTACAATGCTATAGCGTGTCATTCATACATCAGGATGTATATGACAATATAATCTTTTTAGTTTTTTGGAGCAACATGGACACTCAACCAGTAAGTTGTAATGATCCTGTGTGCATCAACTGGGAGTTTTACTCTGATAGAAGGGAGGAACACTATTATTTTGGCTAATAAGTCTCCCTTGTTTAAGGGAAGACAGCCTCCCATGTATGTGCTGCTACAACATTTGCTAGGATTGAACATGCTTTACACAATTGAATTTCTTTTTTTGAACAAACTTTATTGATTCCATATGCAAGACAAGATAATCCTTCTTGTGGCGCATTATGCTATTGATACAGCAGTTCACTATGTTCTTTTTGCATCTTTTACCCTTAAAAGAAGACGACTGTTGCTACTCTTGCAGCTGGCCGAGCTGACTGGCTAAAGCTCTGGCAGTCAGGAAGTATAACAGCTGCATACATTAAAGAGAGCAAACAACCAGCTCATGACTGCTTAGCTTTAGTTGTCATGATTGATAATGCTTTCACAATATATTCTTGAAGTGCATTTACAATTTTGCAGTTTTCTCTACTGAAATACTGTTAGTGTTAGGTTCTAGAAGTAATAATTATGTGTGATGGAACTAGATTTCAACGGTGATTTGACATATGCATGTATCCTGTAGTGTGTTATGCTGTCTTCTGTGTATCTTATTATAAAGAACATGAATCATACCTTTCAGCTTGTTCCTATTACAATGCGCAGAGTTATCATTTTAAAAGCATTGTGTTGGAACTATTGATTCCTCTTTGTGAGCTCACCTCCTGTTAGGAATTTATCCTCTCAGAAGGATTGGACAGTACTTATGTGAGCAGAGGTTGTCAAATATTGTGTTCAGGTGTTGCTTATTGACAAACAATACTGTGTTGATCAAGAACTGTTATATGCCAAGAAACAATTCATGTGTGTTAGTAAATCATCAAAAAACTAAAGCTGCCTTTAATATTTTTCTTCATCTTCTAGGGTGCCATGGTCTGTTTTATGCATTTCATTTAGTATAATAACTGATTTCCAACAGGCTGAATCAATATGTCTTGCTTGCATATATCTTCTCATCCACCATTGTTGTGTAGTGTACTTAGTAAAGTCTATTCTAGTAGAGAATTTACCTTTAAAACAAAAATGATGAATGAGTAAGGATCTGTGTTTCATTCCACAGGCTGGGGCACGGTCTGGGTGTTCAATTACTGCATCACGCAAATGCAAGCCACCCTGGTGGAAAGGTTTATTGGGAGGAGCACCAACTGACTATCAAGAAAGAGAGAGATGTGAAGAGCGTGAGATGGCCGCTTGTCTTGAAGCAGCAAGAGAAGCTTGTGTTAAGTTTGCCAAGGAAAAATGCATTGAACCCTTCCGAGATGCAAGGATTGCTTCTGAGGGTCTTCTTGAAAATACAAAGTTCGCCATCTGGGGTGCTGGTAGTAACAGAACATCATCAGCATCCTTGTGTATCGCAAACAGTCAGTACCCGTTCAACCCTCGTCCTGGTTCTACGAACTACAAAGGAAGTGATTTGCTTGATAGTTTTCCGTCTGAAGACAACAATATTAAGGACGATGACTGAACAACACACCTGCATTGGTAAGAAATGGTCTATATATGTTTTCAGAATTGGATGCATTTCAACAAGGGAATTGCTAGAAGCCTAGAACTAGTGAAAAATCAATGGATTGAAGAACTGAGATTAAATAACTGGAGTCCTGAGGATTTACAGCAAGATCTGGAAAGAAAGAAAAACTGGACACCCAAGAATATGTGCATGTTATTTGTATGACAGTCTTGGTCTGTTTTTTTTACTACGGGGGCAGGCAGGCAGCACAATAAGCGGAGGATCGGGCCATTTTGATGTCAATTTGATTGAATGGCAGATCCTTTGGAGCTACGAAAAGCAGAGAAGTACATTGGTTCCTTGTTTTGACAACAACTCTTCCAACTGTCCTGCCTGTACTATCTCATTTCTAAGGATTTCACTAAGGAAGCATTATAATGTTGTCACGTTCTGCATTGTAAATAAATGCCTGCAGAAGTGTGTCTAGAATAGTGGCAAAAGAAGTTACCCTCAAATGACTTGAAAATTGACTTCTGAGTTCTGACCACCACAATTTTAGCAGCTAAACTCATGGCTCTCAATTGTAATTATTTATGTACCTAATTCGATCTGTGCTACTTCCATTGACTAGTTGCAACAAATAAACCACACCTTCATTTCCAAACAGCAGAATGTTATAGCTTTCAACTGCAGCAACAGTCATCACTGATGCTGATATGTGTTGTCTTCTCGGTTCATCTGTTTCGGAATCTGATCTGTTCATGGAATGTTCATAGAAGAAGAGGATGAAGAACTCATCAGCGTTCACCAGGAGAAAAATGAAAGCATCCGGACATGGACAAGATTGGGCAATGGAAAACGCAAGGAGAAACATGCATGTGGCCTTGGATGTCTATGGTGTGGTGTGCAATGGCAGAGGATGGCCGGGAGTGAGTACTGGAGAAAAGAGGGCTCTTTGTGACATGAGATTGTTGTCAGTGAGATCCAGATGGGATGGGGATGCAGAGGACAAGCAGGCCGTTCCAAGCCGATTGATCCAGCTGATGAGCTCAAGCTGCATTGCTGCAGCAGCATATGTAATGTACCCATGTACCGCGCCTCCTTTTGCAGTGCTATGCTTTCTTCAGACATTTAGCAGCAGCAGCAGAGATCGATACATTCATGTTCCTCCGATGCAGCAATGGTGGTCATGTAAGCCATGGGCCATGTACATCTCCCTGAAAAGATGAACGAACTGTGCCACTGTGAGAGATTATCCCAGGACGATCGGTAGGAAATTCTCTGCTTTTGCTGAAGTTAGCAGGTAATTTGTATGGCCCAGAAAACTCTGTATAGGTCTCCCAAGGAGGAATTTCAAAATGTTCTTTTTCAGGAATTGAACCAAATTTCGCGAAAATCTTGTCAAAATTCCTGCGTTCGAAAAGAGCCGTGTCAGAGTACCTCTTCTTTAGCTAATTTAGCTGCCTTGTTTTCTTTTGCTACGAGGACTGGAGGAGATATCAGCAATAAGAGGTTGTAATTTACTTCCTCCGTTTTATATTATAAGACTTTCTAGCATTGACTACATTCATATAAATATTAATGAATCTAAACGCATTATATGTCTAGATTCATTAACATATATATATATATATATATATATATATATATATATATATATATATATATATATATATATATATATATATATAAATAAGCAATGCTAGAAAGTCTTATAATATGAAACGGATGAAGTAGCTAAAAAATTACTCAAATGAACCGGTAAAATCGACATCCTTTTCTGCACTGAAGAATCTCGTGTTTCCTGGTGAGCAGCAGCAAAAACCCATGCGACGCCTATCCACGATTCTTCTTCCCTAGCTTGTCACCTGCACGTCGTCGTCTTCAGTTCTCACCGATCTCTCTTCTACAGTTTTACAGAGCCATGCATGTCATGTAACATCCGACGCATGGCCGTCCTAGTACCTGTACCTTCCCTTCTCCTCATGTCACCTCCTACAACAAAAGCAGAGCCTCTCTCTTCTCGTTCAGTGCAGCCATGCCTCTGCTATCAGCAACATTCTGGCTTGTTGGCTTTTCAACCTCTGCTCTGAAACAAAAGGAAAAATAAAAGAATTTTAGGGCTTCTTCGGAACACAATATTGTAAAAACGTAGGAATAGAAAAATCACAATGCATTTGTAAAATAGAGGAGTGAAAAAACTAGAATTCTTTAGATTGGATTGTAAAATATGTGCTCGGACATGGCAAAGTAAAAACGTAGGAACATTTTGGAGTGGATGGAATTTTATCTTTGCTTCTCAGTAGGAGGTTGGAGTGTATGGAAGTTTTTCTTTATTTCTAAGTAGAATTCACATGAAAGGAAAATTTCCTTTTGATTTTCCCTAAGATAAATTCATGTGAACCAAACGGTGCTACAGTCATCGAATCCTTAGGGATCTAAATTCTTCATTTTCCCTTTGTTTTTCCTACAATCCGAATAAATCATTTTATTTCATTGAAAAATAGTCTTATATGGTCATTTGGAACGAAGGAATGGCATTCCCAAAATCCTTTGAAATTCCTATAGAAAATATTTTTTAAAAATAAAATCATGGATTCACTTATTACAAGATTCGACGAGGAATGACATCCTATCCTTTTTTTTTCTATTTCTGTGTTTTTCAAATCCCGCATTTTGAAGTTACCCTTGAGGATTGATTTTGGTTTTCTTTTTTTTTATCGTAGTCTCTTTTCATACCTTCATTTCTAAACTGTTTGATGTCACTAATAAATTATTAGTTTTACCTACAAATCAGTAGAGTGGAGTATTTTTCTTCTTTGCTTTCGTTCACATTTCTAGGGCTTTATCTTCTCCCATCTCGCTTTTATCCTGCTCTCTCACACTATTGCACACACACTTTGAGACACACTCTCACCCTCTTTCTCTCTCTGCATTCAGGGGACACAGGGCTCGACGACAAGGTGAGAGAGAAGGCTACAGTGCAGCCTACTGTCTACATCTTCTTCATGGCGCACGCGAGGCCATGGCCATGGCAATGGCAATGGCATCCTAGGTTGCCGTGCCACTGCATTCACCATAGCCAACAATGCCGTCTCTGGCTCCTCCAAAACGGACAACCTCCAAGGCCCCCACACATCATCTAGCTTAGCTTTAGCTAGAGCATGCGATGCTGCTGCTTGGCTCATCTCACCCGTGTGAGTTCAGTTGTGACCCTCCGGTCAAAGCAATGGCTCGCCTCCCCATGTGGACCTGTCCTCCTCTCCGTCGGCAGCCTACTGATCGAGGATTAGTGATAGATTAATATGGCCTAGTCGGGTTAATTTAACTTGGTTACTTTGCGGCGATGCTGATGTGTTCTTCTTTGGGTGTTTTGGCAGCAACGTCGTCAGAGTATGAGATTAGTTTGTTCAGACAAGCAGACAAAGCAAGCTACTCCACTCCAGCAGCAAAAGCGATGTGTTGGTTAGTGAACCTAAGCTGGGGTTAGTGAACCTAAGATAGCTTAGCCAATCTTGATTTTAGCAGCAGGACTGAACCTAAGCTGGGGTTTGATTCTGTTTTTGTTTTTGTAGGCATGGCATGGCAGGCAGGCACGAATGTCGAGGCAACGAGCCTCTTGTTCTAGCTGACAGTAATTTAGTATTAGTACTCCTTAATGGCCTAATTAATTCACCTGTTGTGGGTAGGAGCAAGATTGTGAGAAATTCCTGAATCCTGATGGGAAGAACTGTCCGAATGAGGCTACATGTTGTGCTGTTTAGTGAACCAGCAGCAACCATGGACTTGAGAGACAGAGCAAGACAAGGAGGCATGGAGTTCAGATTGTAGTACTCTGACATTTTGAAGTACCAGCAAGATTTATCACTGTGACATTTTGAACTAGTACAAAAATTTTACTGCAAGTTTATAGATCACTGCAAGTTTACATGAAATAGTTCGAGTTCCTCAGGACATGGGGAAAAAATTCCGCGCATTCGGAATGTGGCTTGAGTTTGCATGAAAGTATTAGATGAATCGCTTAGCTGAAAATTCAGGATTTGCTAATAAATTCTTGGTTCAGCTGTTCAATTTGTTCTTCATATTGATGATGCTCATTCTGAATATTTGCACAAACCATTCATGACATTTGGCATTCAGCAATCTGGTATATATCACCTTGAAAAATCAGAGTTTTTTGATACACATGACACCATTATCTCCCACATCTCCATCTTCACACGTCCCAAACATCCACTACAATCAACAAGAACCCGTTGATCTCCCGAACAAATTGGCATTCTTGATCCTTCTTCCATGGCGGCTAGCTGATCATATCTAATAGTAGTTCAGGAGGTTGCCACTGATGATGTTGTTGCTGCCATTGCAGGGGAAGCAGCCGCAGGAGGCGTTGCTGCCGGCGAGGTGGTGGTGGTGGTGATGGTGGCTGGTGGCCTTGGCCCGCCGGACTTGCTCGGCGGCGCGCTTCAGCTGCTGGAGGTGCTGCGCCTGCGCCGTCGCTCTCCACTCCTCGGCGCGCCGGTGCACGGTCGTCATCCTCCTCATCAGCTTCTCCTCCAGGTTTGATCTCATCTTCTGAATCTTCACCTGAAAAAAAAAATTGTGACAGAAATTCTGTCAGGTTCAGAGGATTATTCTGAAGGACCATGCAGCTGGTCTTGCCATGACCTGGGAGAATGCAGCATGGAGGGAAAAAGTTTCAAACTTTGAATTCAATGTGTTCACTAGAATATAGTGCATATGCATTGGTACTAGTATTGTAGTATCACAGATCATGACAATATCACTGAAAGCACATGTCTTGATCTTTGATTATGGGTAGAAATGTTATCGTGTGGCGCTCTCGGATCGAAGAACTTCACATGGCTTTTGGAATGATAGTAAGTCAGGAACAAAATCTTAAAGAATCATGGTAACTGGTTGAAAGGGTAGGGGATGGCATAGAAAGCAATGAACAATCATACTTTCCACCATTTCTAAGCAACTTAGATAAGCAAAGCGACACACGAGAAACAAACAAGAATTTGCAGTGGATTTAACCATGTTCAAGACTGCAAAGGCAAAGAAACATGGGAATGACATAGCCATGATCCCAATCTTCGTCTGTAATTTATAATTCTGGTATTTATCGATACTTGGAAAATACCAAGTTATCGATCAATAAACTTGGGTTCAGACAAATTGTATCTGAAAAATGGTTTTAGCGTGTACAGCCACAGTGACCACCTGACCATTGTCAATTAACAAATCACAATTCACAATGCAATGTTTGAACTTGACAGAACTAGATGCCAATATGTCATATTTGGCAGCATCATCAACCAGCTATAACTGATACTCTGCTGCAGGATTTGAAGTACTTAATTCGGTTTGTTCAACTGTTTTCAGATTCTCAGTATGCCATCACGGTCAAACCGGTAGGGTCCAGAGGTTCAGATTCTTTTGTTGTACAGAAGATTGAGACAGGCAATTTCTTCCTGTGAATCCACAAGGAAAAGATCACAGGGCTCAAAATGATCACACATCTACCCTAGTGAACTAGTGAAGTGAAGTCACCACTACACCTTTTGGCAAATATTGTCAACTCATATCATTGCATCTACAATGATCTAAAAGTGTAATTTTGGACTGGAAGAAAAAAAAATGTTTCTGTTTCTGAATTCTGATGCAATAATTTTACTTTGCAATATGCACAGGGCTCAAAATGATCACACATATACCCTTCTGAATTCACTACTACACCTTTTGGGTTTTGGCTACTTTTATCATTGCATCTACATTGTTCTTAAAGTGTAATCTTGGACCAGAAGCAAAATAGCTATTTCTGATGCCATAATTGAACTTTGCAATATGAAAAAAGATGAAATTATTTAGCTTTTACCTCTAGCTTTCTGGACTGTGCTTCAGCCTTGGCACTCTCCAGGTTGATCCAAGCTTGAATCTTTGCCTCTTCCCTCTGATACCTAATAATCAGACAAAACACAAGAAAATTTTCATCATATGAGAAATTCATCTCTAATCTTTGCCATAATTTATGCTAAAATTTCTTGTGCAAACCTTATGCAGCTCTTGGCCCTGTCATCGTCCTCCCACCGGCAGTCGCCGGCGCCGCCGCGCTTCTCGCCGACGGCGGCGACGCTGGCCTCGAAGTGCCTCAAGCTCTTGGACACCTCCTCCTCCTCCTCCTCCTTGGAGCTCCAGTTGATGAGCATGGCGTCGAACTGCGCGCCGAGGTCCAGCTTGGCGAAGTGGCAGTCGGCGAGGTCCGAGATGTCCTGGCCGGCGCCGCCGCCACCGCCGGCGTACGGCACCAGGGGGCCCGACCGGCTCGCCGGCGTGTTGTGCCTCGCCGGCGAGGTGCTCTTGATCGGCGTGTGGCACCTCGAGGTGGTGGAGCTGCCCAGCGGAGTCATCTCCGTGCCGATGTCACGCCGGTGGTCGATGCCGTTGCCGGCGGCCACCGCCTGCGCCGCCGTGTTCTTTGTTGGCTCGCAGTAGGAGCTCCGGAACACGAAGCTCTCCTTGGAGGGCTCCACATTGTCAGTGAACTTGTCTGAAACGTAAAAAACTTGTGAGATTTGCAGTTCTAGTTCTTGATGAACAATTATGGTACTGAATTTTTGGCAAATTCAGAACAAACAACTGAAACTTTGGATGCATATGTGACATGTGAAGGAATCGTATGAATCACATCAAGATACAAAACATTTGGCAAATTCAGAACAAAATACGAAACAAAATGAGAGCTTAAGAAACCAATAAAGTGCAGAGAAATTACACATCAAGAAAGTTAAGAAATTACTGCACAGAATTACTCTACAAGAAAGTTCAGAAATTACTGCTCAGAACAACTCTACAAGAAAGTTCAGAAATTCATTCTGACAGTGACCTCACTGAAATTTCATCTGCCTATGAACACAAAGAAAAACTCAAAGAAGTACAAAAATTAACTGAAAAAAATATTTCAGCATCTCACCTTTGAGGAACACTTCTGCAGCAGGAGCAGTGTAGAGAGCAAGAGCAGTGACGTCAGCATCCACCGACCTCCTCACCGCCGACGCCCTCTTCTCCTCCTGAAGCTTGGAGCCCTTGCCATGGTGGTGGTGATGGCCGCCATGGTGGTCGGACGACGCCTGCCTCACCCACTTCTCCGCATCCTCCCACTTGGAAGGCACCGACCTCCTCGCGGAGACGAGCTGGTGATGTGCAGGGCTCGAGGAATTGAAGAACAGCAATGGCCGCCCTGGAGTAGCTGGCACCTGCTGCTGCTGCTGCTCGGCTCGCCTCCTCTGAGCTGAGGCCGAGGAGGAAGAGGATGAAGAGGCCGTGGAGGTCTCGCGGTGGTAGCCATGGCCGCCATTGCCGGTGGCGCCGTTGCTGCTGTTGCTCCTCGCCATGGTAGCCATGGGGAAGGATGACCTCACGAACTCTGAGGTCTCCTTGAGGTTGAGGCTGCAGAGTGGGTCACTGAATGTGGGCCCGAATGGGTTCATGCCTCCTCCTCCTCCTCCAGCTTCAGCTCCCACTCCTTGGAATGAGTTCTGCAAATCGATGGATCAAACGATGAAATTTTCAATCAAGAAACTGATTTGTTGTTGATTTGTCTGGTCTTCTTGAATCAAGAAATCAAGTAGAAGAAGGGATTGGAGATGTGTTTGTTGCTTACTCTTCTTGTTGATGGCAATGTTGCAGATGGCTGCAGATAGTGTGAGGAAGAAGAAGACTTGGGCTCCATGGAGGAGACTGAGCTGAAGCTGAGCTTATGTGTTTTGGTTACTTGGTGAGCTTATGTGAAGTTCAATGAACTGAGGACTGTCACTGTCTGGGCGGCATGAGCTATGAAGTGCAGAGGTCAAGATTTTGTGTGCACCACCTTATGTCTATGGCTCTAAGCCTATGATTAGGAGGGGTCCCTGGTCTGAATCCTACTTAATGACAGTCATTACAGCACTTTGTTACACTAAATATATACAGCAAGTAGGTCCTTCTCTAGGATCTTTTTAAAAGGGTGAACTTGATGTTACCTTTGTAAAAGCCCTACAAACAGGAGCCTTGTCCTCTCTGAATGATGGTAAATTGAGTGCTGATTACTCAATATTGGAAATGTTCAAAACTAAACTTGAGTTATTTCATTTACTATTTGAATGTTCGGTGTAGCCAAGTAGGAGTAGTTTGATGACTCTTTTAGTCTTTGGTCACTCCTAGCTCTGCTTCACGCCTATTTAACTGTTGGTTGTTGCTTAGGGTTGGGCAGCACCTTTTAGCATGTTGAATTCATTGCTTTTTTCAGTCTGTGACACTGACCCTCTGGGATCTGCACTTATGTGGATAGTGAAACTTTCTACCAGGATTCATTGAAAGGATTCATTTTTTTTTAGATAATATTGAAAGGATTCATTAAAACATTTCTGTATCATTGGAAGAAAACACAAAATTCTTCCAACCTGGATGAGAGTATGGCCGAGTTTAGTTCCAAACTTTTTTTCAAACTTTCAACTTTTTCATCACATCAAAACTTTTCTACACACATAAACTTCCAACTTTTTCGTCACATCGTTCTAATTTCAACCAAACTTCCAATTTTGGCGTGAACTAAACACACCCTATATATTTGCACAATTGCTCCAACATCAATAAAACATAGTCTACAAATCAAACCTAGTGTTGTCCATTTAGTAGTTGCAGTCCTTGAATGTTCTATAGGTGTGTTTAGTTTACGCTAAAATTGGAAGTTTGATTGAAATTGAAACGATATGACGAAAAAGTTAGAAATTTATGTGTGTAGGAAAGTTTTGATGTGATGGAAAAGTTGGAAGTTCGAAGAAAAAGTTGGGAACTAAACACGGTCTATCCGTCTATGTACTAGTGTTGGAATTAGCTACTACCTAATGTATCATTCGTAAAATAAAACTGATTGCTTCTTTTCACACTCCATGACACTCTCTGCACTTAACTCTAATAACCTATCAAAGCATAAATATACAGCAGTCCAGGCTTTTGTCAGAAAGGATAAATTTTTACTCCGCAACAGCAGCTGGTCTGCTAGTATGAGTATGAGCATGATCAGCCAACCATTGACTGTTGGTCATATTCATCCCTTGGACCAATACATTTTGAATTACTGGAGGAAGCTTCTGTTTCACCATTTGGTGTGTGATTACAGCTGCATCACCCAGAGGCAATGGAGATAAACAGCCACTAGTACTACTGATCATCTTTTGCATGTCACATTTTTTTTGTTTCTTGTTTTTAGCCTTTCTGAATCATGCCTCTGGTCTCCTGGATCTCTGCCTGTATTATTAACCCATGCTGACATATTTTACTGTTGCTTGGTAGGAGTGTAGGACCATCCCTATTTGCATCATTCATCATTTCTCTGTGCAGTCCTATTTTGTGAGGTAGTAAAACAAAAGATTGTATCTTTGACCAAACTACTCCAGAATCTCCCTGATATATCTGAAATCTGTAGTAGTAATAATAATTTTGTTTCCAAGGATTTATTGAAATGTGCTTTCATTGTTTTCAAAGAAAAATACAATGTGCTTTTCAGCAAGTGCAAAGACTTCTGAATGGAATTCCAAGTACAGAAATGCTAGATGGTTTACCTGAAAATCTTGCATTTCGAATTTCATTTCTGAAATCACATGAGCTTTGCATTACTGTGGAATTGCATGGAGAACAGTAGATTCTGCACAGTGGGTGGTACAGCATTGGATCTCGATTTTTCCCAGCTCCGGTTGCAGACTTGCAGCAGCAGGAGGAGGAGGAGGAGCCGGTCATTATCTAGGCCCAAAGGTAAGGACAAATGAAGATTTGCAGACGTGAGAAAAAAAGCCTATTTGGTAGGCAATTCTGCCGCTGCACACTGAAGTGAAGTGAGCCGGACACGGACAGCATTAGCCGGCAAGCAAAGCTGGGCTGCTTTCCTTTGTCCATTGCCAGTTTGCCACTGCTTCTGCATCATCATCAGTTCTTCTTTACCTGACCAAAGCCATCGACGAAGACGATGACTTTCTTTTTACACTCGACTAGCTGTAGCTGTACTTGCTGTAGGTAGAGTGACTGGAATAATAGTGTCATGCAGGGGCTAGTTTCTGACTTTATCCAGGCGTTTTTGCACTTTGTTTTGTAGGCTTTGTTCAGTAATCATGCAGCATGTGTTGAGTTGTGATCCAAATTCATTTGCACTTAATAAAGTCCAGTTTCTGCCGTAGTAGAGCGGAGGCCCGTCGCCGTGCAGCGATGTAACCTCACCCCATATATAGTGAAGATATTTTGCTGGTTAGCGCCCGTGGTTTTTTCTCTCCTGTTTTGGGAGGGTTTTCCACGTTAAAATCTCGTGTCTTATGTGATTGATCTATTGTTTTTTATCGTTTGTTTGCCTATTGTTTCCTAAGAGCATGCTACGGGGATTAGATTCATTATACACATCCTTTCATCAATTAATTGTAGGTAGCTTAATTTTATACTTTGCGGCTTCATGTGAGTGAGTTTGATGCTTCCATTGAACTGAGAACGCACAGAGTTACAGTTATAGGCTTACAGCATTGGTCAGAGATTGCATCATTACCCTTGGATGGCCAGTATAGTTAGGATTTTACTGTTGTTATTTTTAGTACTGGCAAGTAGCTGTTTCTTCCTATAAAAAAAACTATGAAGCGCCATTTAGAACAGGAGAATTTTACAGAAACAATTTATTTTTCAGGTAGAAACATTTTATTTTGTTCACTTACGGGGCCGTAAGGTCTATTAAAGCCCACGAATCGGCCCATCAGCATATGAAGGGGAGACTGCCCGTTGACTAGTCAACATATGGGCCTAAATTGCGTCACCAGGATGGGCCCATTGCCACCTTCATCGCGGGCCAGCACCGCCGCCTGTGCCGTGCCGGCGACCGGCGGCGCGGCGCCGGCGATGGGAACGAGGCGAAGTAGCAAAAGGCACAAATGACAGACACACCCGTCGGCAAGGCAAACAAAGCAATCCTGATGATGATATCGATCTGCAGCTTTGACCACTTTGTAAACCCACTTCACGTGTTTGAAAACATGAAAGTTGAGATAAAACATGTTATAATTAATTAATAGTGCACCCGCTTATATTATAAGTCGGTTTGATTTTCTTTTTCTGCCAAATTTCCTTATGTCTGATGAAGTTTATAGAAAAATATACCACAATAAAATAAGTTTGATTAGAAAAAAAAAAGGTAAAACGACAATGAAACTGACTGAGTATTTATGTGTGACCAAAATCCCTAAAAAAACCACCTCCAAAAACTTCAGAAACATCCCCTTAACCATTGAAGATGTCGCTGCCTACGTGCGGCGGATTGTGTCATCACCAGTAACTAGTATAATTAACATATTATGACACCGATATACTCTCTCCGTCTAAAAAACAACCTTAGTATGGATGGGACATTACCTAAGACAATGAATCTGGAAATGCTTCATGTCCAGATTCGTTGTTCTACGTAATGTCTCATCCATATTAAGGTTGGCTTTTTTTGACGGAAGGAGTACATATTAATTATGACACCAACGAATCAATTTTTTAGATCCGCCACAGCTCGACGCGTCACAGCCACAGCTTGTCATGGCAGAGGACCATGATAACACATGTATAACCTAGCTAGTAGGTGGCTAGGTGTAATCGTACCAAGTTCTAAAAATACTTTTCCATATATACATTTACAAATTTACATAATTAAGCTGCACCCGTTTACTCGAAAAGCCTAAATTAAAAGGCACCACCTCCAAACTTTAAAAACATGTTCTTGAACCATGGAAGACGTCGTCGCTGGCTACACTAGAAGATTGTCACCAGTGGTCAACAACTCCTCGCAGAGAAGCCTCAACCTCATCGTCTCCAACCTGTCGAGGCAGAATCTATCGGCCGCCACGATCAGCTGCTGCGCCATCGCCGCCGCCGGCACCCCGTCGTCGTCTTGCGCGGCGGGGCCGGCCGGCATCGTCTCCGGTGGCGGCGGCGGCGTGCCCGTGTACATGAAGTACAGGAGAGCCTCGAACGCCACGGCGTCCACGCCGTCGACGTGGATGCACCTTCGTCGTCCTCGGGTGAAGCAGCGTCGAAGACGGCGGCGGCGGTGGCGGCGACCGCGAGGGGGGTGGGGGGGGGGGGGGAGGGGGGCTGAGCACCGGCGACCACGCGGCGACCACGGAGCTATGCGCGGCGAACGCCTCGCCGCCGACCCTGAAGGTGACGTCCGTCCCGTCCAGCAAGGAGAGCAAGCGGCGGCGCAGGCCGCCGGACTCAGGGTCGCCGACGGGTGGCGGCGGTGGCCAGGGCCGGCACTGACTCTTTAGTGGTTCGGTGTGGAAAAAAAATGAAGGTCTACATTTACCATAAAATTACAAGATAATATTTAAAAACTCATTGTCATTAACGAATTTCACACTAAATAAGTTTAAAATACAATCAAGCCGTCACGATATGTTCGATCGTCGATTGGTCTTCTGTCTTTTTTCTAAGCCTATCAGGCCTGATATCATAGTATACATATTTTCGAGGCTCCTAATTTTTGGAGGCTCAGTACAGTCGCACCGTCCTTACTGTCCCAGCCGGCCCTGGTGGCAGCCCGGCTCGCAGCTCGACGCCGTCCTTGATGAAGGCGAGGCGGCGGTCGTCGTGACGACCGGTGAAGCTCTCGAACGCGCGCATGGCGACACCCTTTCGAGCGAGGAAGAGAAGCTGAGTATACGTCGCCACGACACTTATGGATAGAACGTGTGGAGAGAAGACGCCGATCTTATAGCAGTAAAGTGTAGCCTTAGCTCCCACCATTCTAAAATATAAAGCATTACCCCCTTTAATTAAAGATAAAAAAATATTTATTATCATCTTCTCGTTTTGATTAACCTTACATGTAACATGCATACAATAGAATTAGAGATATTGAATGTAAAAACAATAAAAAACAATATTAATTTTACGGAAATGCTAAATTTATGTCCACAGAAAACACAATCTCAAATCTTGCAAATTTTGGATCATTGGATGTGCTTCACGATTCGTGCTTTTCTTCTCCAACTCCGGCGACCACCTCTTCTTCTCCGGCGCCGGCGAACCCAAACTCCGGCAGAGGGCCGACGAATTAGGATCCCGGGGTGGGGTGGGGGTGGGAGGGGGAAGAGAGGGGAGTTCGTCGGCTTTAGAGGGATGGCCGTGGGAGGCGGCAGTCCGGCGGTGGGCGGCGGATCGGGCAGGTGGCGAGGCGGCGGCGGCGGCGCCGAAGCCGCGGGGTCGGGAGCGGGCGGCGGGCCGGTTGAGGCGACGGGGGCAAAGCTGAAAGAGTGGTAGGAGGAGGTAGCCGGTGATGGCGCCCCGCCGCCGGCGACGGGGAAGACGACATACAGCGCACCGCCGCCGGCTTGAGGCAAAGGAGGGGAGGGGAAGGGGGCCAGCCGGCGGGGCCTCGCCGGCGTCGTTGACACTTTTCGGCCAGCCGGCGAGGCCGGGTGACGGAACAGTGAGGCGGCGGCGGCAGTGAAGGAGGCGCGCGGTGCTGAGAGGAGGGGAGGAGCGCTTGAGCGTTGTGCGGCGGCAGGGAGGAAAAAGGAAAAGGTGGTTAGGGTTTGGTGGGGTTTGCACGAATCTCAAATCAATCCAATGAACAAAAATTTGCAAGATATTAGGAGGGGTTTTCTGTCGAGGAGTAGACAGTCCCTTAATTTTATTGGTTCCGTTTCGTTACATTTAGAGCTTAAGGTGAGTCTGAACTGAAAACTGAAGTGAACTTTTATTTTGTTTAGAAGATATAAACTATTTATTTTATGACTATGTAAGTAAGTAGAGGTACATTTTTCTACTAGTATTTCATATACTCCCTCTGTTTCAAAATAAGTACAATCATAAGTTTCCGTATACAACTTTAATCGTTCGTCTTATTTAAAATTTTTTTATGATTAGTAAGTATTTTTTTATATTAGATTATAAAATATGAATAGAACTTTATGCATGATTTATGTTTTTAGATTTTTTTTTCTAAAAAATTAAATAAGATGGACGATTAAAGTTGTGCACAGAAACTCATGGTAGCACTTATTTTCTAGATAGAGGGAGTATCTGTCTGTGCTAGAACTACGCATCTCCAAACTTTAAAAACATTTCCTTATAAACCATGGAAGACGTCGCTGGCTACGCTTCGGATCATCGCCGGTAGCCGGAGCAGCCGCCGCCGTCGTGTCCATGCTCGTGTCGTCGACGCGCCATCCCCACGCCTTGTCCTCACAGAGGAGCCTCAACCTCTCCCAGTCCAAGCCGTATTTACGCGCTGCCGCGATCAGCTGCGGCGCCATGGCCGGCACCTCTCGCGGGGCCATCGTCTCCGGCAGCGTGTCGGTGTACACGAAGTGAAGCAGAGCCTTGAACGCAGCGGCGTCCATGTCGCCGACGTCGATGTGCCTCCCGACGAGTCCCATGAAGCAGGAGGCGCCGCCGCGACGACGACAGAGCTTGGCCAGCTCCGGTGCCCGTCGCTCGAGCACCCGCCTATGCGCGGCGATCGTCTCGCCGCCGGCGGCCCTGAACGCGACGTCCGCGTCGTCCCCGGTGTCGAGCAGGCATCTGAACATGTCGTGCTCCACCGGGCAGAGGGTCGACATCGTCGGAGGCCCGTCGCGCTTCACGACGGTGACATCGCACCGGAAGGCGAGGCGGTCGCCGGTGAGGTGCCCCGACGCCTCGAGCTCGCCGTGGCCGATGAACCTCTCCGCCCCGAACGTGCTCGACGAATTAGCGCTGAAGCTGACCACGCCGTCGCTCGCGTAGGTGCGCGACGGCACCGGCTCGCCGTCCATGTCGAGCAAGCTGAACGCGAACCGCGCCTTGACGACGGCGGCCGGCAATGCGGCGCCGGGCTGATGATCAAGGGAGAGCATGAGGGATACGAAGCCACCGGAGCCGGAGACGACGGCGCCGTTGGGGTAGTACCTGATGCGCCAGGCGTGGCCGCCGACGACGAAGCTGCACGACTCGTCGCATTCTTCGCCGGCGGCGAACTTGGCCTTGGTGAGGGAGTAGCCGTCGATCCTGAGGACGTGGTGGCCGGTGGGCATTGGCGCCGACGCGACGATGGTCGACGTGGTTGGGTAGCGGTAGTAGGCATCCTGGCGACGGGTCATCATGTCGGAGAACTCACTCGAATTGGTTTGGGGTTTGTATTTCAGCGGCCGGGTTTACGTGTGATACGACGACGTGTGTTGCAGTCGATATAAATACTGTTGCCGCTCGGGGCAGAACGTAATTAACTCGGACTCGGTGTGGAATACCCGCGTGCGAGGTGGGTTTTCCTTAATTTTCCGTGTTGGGTTTTCCTTTCCTTTTCTACGGTGCCATGTATATATGCGCGAAAAGGATATATAATGAGCGATCGATCGCTTGTACGATCACTGCGCGCGATTAGTTTTGAACTTCTTTTTTTTTTTTCGCACGAACAAAATACATACGCCAATACGTGAGAGGGTTTTATCCATCGCGCGTGGGCCCTCTCCTCTTAGCTTTTTTTTTTGCTTGGAATAAGCTTATCTGAGGTCCCCTTAACTCGTCAACCAATCTGATTTTCATCCTTCAACCCGAAAACCAGATATAACTGGTCCCTCAACTATCAAAAACGATGCAAAATAAGTCCCAAGACGATTTGGATGGCGGTTTTGACTGACGTGGCACCTACGTTAAAATATTCTTATATCTGCAAAAAAAAATTTAAATAAGACGAATAGTTAAATATTGGTAAAAAAAATCAACGACGTCATACATATTAGTATAACTTTACATAATTAAGCTGCACCCGTTACTCGAAAAGCCTAAATTAAAAGGCACCACCACAAAACTTTGAAAACATGTCCTTAAACCATGGAAGACTGTAACATCCCGGCCTAGGGCTTAATAGGATTAATAGAATACTTATATCAACAAGTTGCAACTTCTTTTCCGGAAGCCAATCTCCAAAGAACTCCAGGGTTAAGCATGCTTGGCCTGAAGCAATTTGGGATGGGTGACCGACCGGGAAATTCTTCCCGGGTGCACACGAGTGAGGACAAAGTGTGCAGAAAAGATATGTGTTGGTCTGTGAGGGCAGTCTATGACCTATGAAAGCTATCAGATGTAAGCGGGCCCGGCCTGGGGGAAGGCAGGACGTTACAAAATGGTATCAGAGCCGACTCTCGCGGTTTCACGGGCGCGTGTGTCGCAGTTGCGCAGGCATGGTGCGCATGGCTGGTGTAGACCGGGAGTGGTTACACAGCATGGCACATGCGCTGGCACTGGACACATGGACGTGGCCAAGAGAGGACGTTCCTGGCCTAGGGTTGATCGACGGGGGCGTCGATCTCTCTTAAGGGGGAGGGTGTAACATCCCGGCCTAGGGCTTAATAGGATTAATAGAATACTTATATCAACAAGTTGCAATTTTTTTTCCGGAAGCCAATCTCCAAAGAACTCCAGGGTTAAGCATGCTTGGCCTGAAGCAATTTGGGATGGGTTGCTTGGCCTGAAGCAATTTGGGATGGGTGACCGACCGGGAAATTCTTCCCGAGTGCACACGAGTGAGGACAAAGTGTGCAGAAAAGATATGTGTTGGTCTGTGAGGACAATCTATGACCTATGAAAGCTATCAGATGTAAGCGGGCCCGGCCTGGGGGAAGGCAGGACGTTACAAAGACGTAGTCGCTGGCTACGCTGCAGATTAATGTCGCCAGACACCGGTAGTAGCTAGTCCACAACTCCTCGCAGAGAAGCCTCAACCTCATCGTCTCCAACCTGTCGAGGTGGAATCTATCGGCCGCCGCGATCAGCTGCTGCGCCATGACCGCCGCCGGCGCCCCGTCGTCGTCTTGCGCGGCGGGGCCCCCCGGGCATCGTGCCCGTGTACATGAAGTACAGGAGAGCCTTGAACACCGCGGCGTCCACGTCGTCTTGGTTGTATAGTAATTTCAGCAGCCGGCTGGTTATGTACGTACACGGCAGCATAGCTGGTATGTGTGTGTATATATATATATACATATATATATATATATATATATATATACATATATATATATATATACATATATACATATATATATACATATATATATTGGAGGATCTAAACGAGTGATCTGCAAGTTTAAGGACCGTGATGACACAGTTGAATAATTTTGAGGATGAACGGTCGATTTGCGAGTGTAGGGACTGAGATAAAACAACGGTACAAGTTTAGGGACGGTGATGGACTTTACTAAAAAAATAATTTATATATGGGAAGTTTTGGCTCATTTGGTAGTATTTCTCCATAGACTTGATTAAACATTAGAATTGATGTCTATATATATGTGATCTTTATGTTTGGGAAGTCCTAATTAAGTGCATGCATTTATATCTCTCTCTTATTTAGCACATGCATGGTTTGAGAAACGGTCCGATCCGTAAGCTATGGAAAGAGGAACGAAGCAGCAATTTTGCACTTTGCAGCTTGATGGTCGAGTTTCCATTGAGCACTTGAAACAGCTTGTGGCAGATTGCTGCATCATTAGCGTAGGGTCATCATACGTTGGCCAGCTGCCGTAGTATATACTTATATTTATTATTAAACTAGGTGAAACCCCGCACATTGCTGCGGAAATTTAGTATGATAATAATAATAAAAAAATAACGTATAAGATAACTAGATAACATCAGATTAAGTAAATTAATGTGATTTATGATAATTTAAATTTAAATAGTATGTAGAATGGTGATTCAAACGTAAAAAGTAAGCTGGTATGACTTTACGGAGGGAAAAAAAAGTAGGGAGATAGTTTGGACCGTAGATTAATCATCTAAAGACTAAAAACAATTGATGTGATATAACTTAATTAGAGGAAAAAAAGAAAAAGATAATTTAGACCATAGATTAATCATTTAAGCACTAACTAAGTGAGGATGAACTATATAAATATATAAGATATCATAAAACATAATAAAGATATACATTGAAACATTATATGAATTATGTTGGATGATAATTTAACATGTTTGTATTTGAAAAGCTCTTAAATTATAAAAACTATAAAGATATAGCATGTTTGCATGATGTTTAAATGTGATGAGTGTTAGTGCATGATGATGTGACATCTTGTTAATTAGTGGATGATGGTGTGGTATCTTGTTAGTGAATGATGATGAGGCATCTTCATATCAAGCTTAAGAAGTTAGTGGGGGATAACTTTATAGTAAGATATGATACCACTGTTTTCAGATAGCTGATTGTTCCTATCAATAACCATGAAGTGCCATTTTACGGAAACAATATACTCCCTCCGTATCTTAATGTATGACGCCTTGACTTTATAACCAACGTTTGATCACTCGTCTTATTCAAATTTTTTATGCAAATATAAAAATACTTATATCATGCCTAAAGAACATTTGATGATAAATCAAGTCACAATAAAATAAATTATAATTATATAAATTTTTTGAATAAGACGAAAGGTCAAACGTTTGTCAAAAAATCAACGGTAACATACATTAAAATATGGAGGGAGTATTCATTTGGAAAAAGTACACCCAAGGTCCCTCAACTTGTCATCGAGTTACGAAATCGTCCTCCGATATATGACATCCCTCAACTTACAAAACCGTTTATTTTAGGTCATTTGATGGTTTTGACCCTGGTTTTATCCAACGTGGCGGCTGAGTCAGCGTGGGACCCACGTGGGCCCCACATGTCAGTAAGCCATATCATCACCTCTCTTTCCTCCCTCTTTCCTCTCCCTTCCTCCAATCTCTCGCTCTCTCTCACTTTTCTCCTCTGGGCAGGCCGGCCGGAGGGCAGCGCCCGCGAGCGCGGGGCTGGGCCCGGCGTCTCCTTGCCGGAGGAGGCGACGTGAACTGCGGCCGCCCGTCCACGGCGAAGAGGAGCTTGCTCCGCCACGCATGCCCCATCCCCAGCGCCTCGAACGCCGTGGGCGCGCGCCCGCCGCCGCCGCCGTCGACCGAGACGAGCGCCTTGACGTGGGCGATTGACTCGGACGTGAACCGGAACGACCTGTGCAGGAACGGCTCGGCGCCGTTCTGCGCCGGCGAGCCGCCGTCATCACCGTCGTCGATCTGCGTGAACTCGTGGTGCAGGAACGCGACCTGCGGGGGGTCGCGCGCGCGGAGCAGGGCGCGGTCGAGCGCCGGCGGGACGGAGAGCGGCACACCCCGAGTTGACGAACTGCATGACGCCGACGCCGTTGAACATGCAGTGGTTGATGGCGAGACCGAGCACGAACCCATCGCACTTGAGTCACCTAAACCATCGCCATTAACAAGAACTCGTAGATGATTATTGTTAGGAACACAGAAACACTGAATCAAAACTCACGAACTCTCACTCTCACTCTCACAATCTCTGAACCTTTTGTCGAACGTGAACAGTTTAACTGAAGAACAGAGAAAACGAGCAGAGTTTTTGGCGCAGCGTAATACCTTTGCTGCTTTTCTGGTTTTCTATTTATTCTCCTCAATTACAGAGTTTGTTACATGCATAACAGAAAGAAGCCCGATTGATCTAGATCCACTACTGACCGGCTGCTGCCAGATTCTAACACAGCCAACTGTATGCAACGCAACAACAGAAACTGCACAAGATTACATTATTTAGCTAACAATTATGAGCAACAAACACAATGATTAAATGGATAATCGCATGAGAGTTCATGTACGTGCCTGAGCTGCGAGGAGGGGCATCTCGAGGACGTTCTTGGCGCCGGGGATGCTGTACACGAGCTCGCCGAGGACGGAGGGGTCGGGGCGTCGGTGAGTGTCAGGCGCAGAGTGAAGTGAAGCGGCAGCGGGCACGCACGTGCAGCGGGTGAGCGGCCGGCGGAGCGAAGCGCCGACGGCGGGTCGGCGGCAGGCAAGCGCGCGGTCGGTGGAGCAGAGCGGCGGTGGCGGGCGAGCGAGCGGCCGCGAGCCAGCCGCCGGACCTTCTCCTCTCCTTCGTCGCCCCGCCGGCCTCCTCCCTTCTCCAGTGTCGCCGCCTTGTCGTCTGTCGCCGGCCGTCGATGCCCGTTCATCTCCGCGTTCGTCGTCGGGGCTGTCGCGCTCATCGCCGCGCCGTTCGCCGTCCCTCCTGCATCGTTCGCCCGTGACGTCGAGCGCGCCGTTGCCGAGCGCGAGGAGCGTGACGGCGGCCATGGACGGGGAGAGGCGGAGGCGGCCCGCGAGGCGGGAGACCGCAGGGGGAGAAGTGGGACCCCGCGGCAGCGGCGAGGACGCGGAAGGGGAGGAGGAGGAGAGCGAGCACCGGGAGGGAGGCACGGCGCGGCGGGGAAAGAGGAGAAAAGTGAGAGAGAGAGAGAGAGAGGAGGGAAAGAGAGAGGTGATGACATAGCCACGCTGACATGAAGAGAGTGAACGGTTATTTAAGTTGAGGGATATTATATATCTGGTTTTGTGGTTGGACAACGATTTCATAACTCGATGACAAGTTAAGGGACCTTCGGTGTACTTTTTCCTATTCATTTCAGCCTTTCAGGTAGTATATAAATTAGGAAATGAAAAAAGTACACCTAAGGTCCCTCAACTTGTCATCAAATTACAAAATCATCCCTCAACCGCAAAACTGACATCCTTCAACTTTACAAAACCGTTCGATTTGAGTCTTTCGGTGGTTTTGACTTCGGCTTTATACGACGTGGCGGCTGAGTTAGCGTGGGATCCACGTAATAGGATGCCACATCAGCACCCTCTCTCGTCCCCGGCGAAGAAAAGAAAACGAAAGGGCACTGATGGAGACGTCGGCTGCGCGCCGGCCACAGCACCTGCACGGCCGCCCCGGACCGCGCCACTACCTGGGCCGCGCCTTGCACTGAACTCCGCCGCGTCACGCCGGTCGTCGCCCAGCCGCGCCGCCGCGCCTCCCCGACCACACGAAGTCAACGGGAAAAGAAAATGAAGAAAGAAAAAAAAAAGGAAAAGGGCGGAGCAGCGAGCAGCCATGGCCGCTCGGCCGCATCCCGCGCCGAGCCGCCGCTCAGCCGTATCCCGCACCCACCCGGCCACCGGCGTCGCCGCACCGCGCCGTGCTAGCCCGCTGCACCGCATTCGCCGTCCGCGGCGTGCTCGCAGCACCGCGCCATGCCCGCTTGACCGCCCCCACGCCGCCCCGCATGGCGTGGCGCCGTGAGCCGCCGGCCCGCCGCACGCCAGCCACCACGAGCCCGTGTCCTAGCCGCGCCGCCGCCGCGTGTCCGCGTCGCGGCCGCCGCCTAGCCGCCACCGCGCCCCGCCGTCGGCTGCCGTCACGCCGTGCGCCGCACCCCGCCGACGCACGGCCGGCCTTCACCGCGCGCCGCGTGCCGCCGCCGCCCCTCGTCGTCCTCAGTGCGCCGCGCCGCCGGTGCACTAGGTCCCCGCATGGTTGGCACCTTGTTAACGTCGAATGTGGTTGGTCTGCAGCAGGATGGCATCCCCCATAGCTGTACTGCGGCCACTAGCCACAGCCCATCTGTTCCAACAAAAAAACATAAATTTACGAGTCGATGCAGGCTATTAGCAGCAATTCAGCTTCTAATTTGCAAGAATTTACACACACACACACTTACAGATTGTGAAGAATTTGAGCGGGTGTGAGGCTGTGAGCTGCAGAAACGGAAAGGGCCAGAAGCACCAGATGAGCAAATAAAATCCAAGAGACAATGGCGGAAGCTAGCAAAGAAATGGAGGGAAGGATGGGTTCACCGGCTATTCTGCCGGCCGGCCGCTGCCCTTCTTCCTCTCCGCGCGCACCCGCGGGCCGGCGAGGGAGATCGGCGGGGAGAGGAGCGGGAGGCAAGCCACCGCCGTCCTCGCCCGCCTCGGGACGTCGCCGGACACCCACCGCTTCCACTCTGAGTGCGTGGCTGCGTGCTACTCTTCCAGCCCCCAGGAGCAAGCGAGCGGCGGCCCCAAGTCGTCGTCGTGCTCCGCGTCGCCGACCGCCACCCATCGCGCCAACCCTCCTCTCAGCCGCGCTCCTCCCTCGCTGGCCGTCGCGCGCCCGTCGCGCTCCTCCCCTGCCGGCCGGCCGTGCTCCCTAAGAGGAGAAAGTGAGAGAGAGAGAGATGAGAAAGGGAGAGGAGGGGAAAGCGAGAGAAGATGCTGACGTGGCATCATGACATGTGGGGCCCATGTGAGTCCCAGACTCAGCCGCCACGTCGGATAAAATTGGGTCAAAACCACCGAAGGACGTAAAGTGAATGGTTTTATAAGTTGAGGATGTCATATATCTGGTTTTGCGGTTGGGAGATGATTTTGTAATTCGATGACAAGTTGAGGGACCTCGGGTGTACTTTTTCCTTAGGAAATTTATGGTCTTCCAATCACGGGCCGTAATTAAGGCCTATGAGAGTGCAGCCGACGAATATGCGTGGGCCCATCCAATCAATATATGGGCCTGAGTTGGCCCGGCAACGTGGGCCTTCTGCCGCCGCCTTCATCGCTGGGCTCGCAGCAATGTGCCTCTGCCGGTGAGGCGGCCGCCGCGGCGGCGGCGGCGACCGACGGGCGGCGATGCGGAGGAGACGGTGGAGAGGAGTGATTCCGTTCTACTCCCGGGCATCACTCTCCTGGAGCTTCCGTTGCTCCGGCCGGCGCTATCATGCCACCGGGGTTTCCGACTTTCCCTCCCAGAAGGCTTTCCCTCCCCGTCTCCGGCCAACTCTGGTCTCCGGCCATCTCCTCGTCGGCGGGGGCAACCTAGCAGTGGACTAGCGGAAGGATCGGAAGGCCACATTCCCAGGTGTACCCAAAACCCTACTAATTTTCCTCCATTAATTAATTCACTGCCATGCTATTGACGCTTGTTTGGATCTGGCTTCTCTCGATGAGACGAAAAGAAAAGGGGGGTAAATCATGTAGGCTAGTACAATTAATTGTTATTTTGATTTGCGGCTATCTGTAATTTACTCTAGGATAGTACGAAAATCATGCAGTTTGGATTTGTCCTCTTTGAGGCCTTGTTTAGTTGGGGAAAAATTTTGGGTTTAGTTGTCACATCGGATATACGGATAGACATTTGAATTATTAAACGTAGTCTAATAACAAAACAAATTACAGATTTCACCAGGAAACTGCGAGACGAATTTATTAAGCCTAATTAACCCGTCATTAGCAAATGTTTACTGTAGCACCACATTGTCAAATCATGGCGCAATTAGGCTTAAAAGATTTGTCTTGCAATTTACACGCAAATTGTGTAATTGGTTTTTTTATTTTGTCCACATTTAATACTCTATACATGTGTCCAAACATTCGATGTGATGGGTGAAAAAATTTTGTTTTGTGAACTAAACAATGCCTGAGTAGGATGTAGTTGGGTTTGTAGTTAATTTGTATACCTTGCCAGAAATGGTTTTTTTTAGATAATGGAATAATAAACATCCCGGCCTCTGCATCTTGCACTGCAGAAATGCTTGCAAAAATGGACAGGCCATGATGGGTAGGGGTAGCCACAATGGCAGCCAGAGCGTTTGGCACCCAAATAATTTGTTTCCTCAAGAATGTGGAAACCACAAACATCTCAGACTAAATTATTGAATTCAGGCTTGACTATTGTGAACTGAACATAAACTCAACTTTGCAAAACTCAACATAAACACAATACACAAAGAAAGTTTCATATCCGTGGAGCACTTTGCTTGCCACACAAATTTCAGGAGAGGGGAGATTTCACACCACACAAGTTGAGTAATCTTGTAGTTTATTCTTCTTGCTTCAAGAGATAGAGCTTCCTCAGCTTCACTCAACCCTGACGATGAGAGGCACTGCTCTTCATTTCCTCGATGAGTGGCCACACATCAGCTGCGAGGTCTGGACGATGTTTCTCATTTGGATCACTGCATTTCAATCCCAGGAACAGCATCTCTGCGGCGTCATCTAACTGGCATTTCTTCAGGTCAGGATCCACAATGCTTTTTAGGACCTCATGTTGCTGCTCCATGCTCTTTCCTTGGAATCGTATAATATCTCCTAGTTTGCTGAGCACATTCTTTCTCAAATCCTTTGGTTCTTGTGCTGTAACAAGTTGCAAAAGTATAATGCCCAGAGCGGACACATCTAACTGAGTCTTGTGGGTGTCAGAACCAATCAACATTCTTGCAAATCCCTTAACACCACCCCAAAACGAGACAGGTTTGGAAGTGTATTGCAGCAGATGGGACATGGTAAAGTTGCTAAGCTTGCATACATTGTCTTTGCTGAAGAGGATGTTGCTCGTTTTGAGATTACCATGGACGATTGGGTAGGGCTCGGTGTTGTGGAGGAAGATGAGAGCGGAGCATATGCTGGAGGCAGCTCTCACTCGTCTTTTCCATGTGAACCTCCTCCTTTGTCCACTTTCAGTGAGGTGATCTTTCAGGGAGCCATTAGGCAAGAACTCGTAGATGAGTATCTGTCTCTCTGGACATGCTCCTATGAGGGTGACAAGATTTTGATGCCGGATCTTTTTGAGGATGGCAACCTGCATTTTCAGAGCTCTTCTATCCGAGAAAATGAGAAGAATATTGTACGGTAGCTCTAACTTGCGGGAAAATTAATATATGAACAATTCAGGTAGGCATAAACTTTCTTGCATTTATACCCATGGAATTTCTGAACTGTATTTCAATTAGTAGGCATGCAATCAGGGAGAAAGTAAGGCAGGAAAAATAGGTGAGGTTGCAGCTAACATTTGAATCAGAGTAAAATACTGTAGCCGGAAACTGTGGAGAAATTACTTTTGTGGTCATTTTCAGCAGTTGGGTAGCAAAATGAATGGCTAAGATTGTCTGCAATTGCTATTGCGCAGTCAAAAACTCACAATAGCAATTGCACTGATCTGAATTCAATGGATTGAGGGATCAAAGAGACAACTGTAATCCCCCATGTTAAACTTTTGTCAGCAATTACTATGAAATGAACCTTTTATTTTGCATGGAGCTACTATAAATGAACTTAGATTAGTAGAAATATAAAAGATATATTGCAGAATATATCTTTATACTTGCCTCTTGATTAAACTCTCGCATGCTTGGCAGAGGTTTGCGGCTGTCTCTGTTATTGGGAATCTTTACAGCAACAGTCTTCTCACCAATTTTGCACTGAAGAACAGACCCATAACTACCAATTCCAAGAAAAATTGCATCTCGGTCATTGACTACACGATGAATCTGTGAAGGCCTGTACTCGGTGAACCTAATCATCTCATAAGACCTGGAAGCTTGCTCCTCCATCCACCAGCGATGTTTGGTATAAATTGATACTATGGTTTCCGTTCTCCTGAGTTCTTCCCTGAGTTTCTGGTTCTCCTTGATGGCATTGTTCGCCCTGAATCTCACCAATTATGAACAGAGATAGAATGATCAGGCAAAAGAAACAATAGTATATTCAGGCTGACTAACAGACCTCCAAGATCGCCACACCTTATGGCTTGTTGCCGATGTTGGGAACGGCCTCTTCCAAGAACCATGGCTCACCAAGGTTCAAACTGCCGATCTTCGACGATTTCGGCTGGATGAAGCTACTGCTTATTGGCTGCTGTGAGTACACTATGGCTGAATCTTCCAAGGCTTGCAGCTGGTGAAGATTATAAAGGCCAACTGGGGGCAAGGTGTCATTTTTCTTCTCTTTCGCCACTAGTTCTATTTTCTCTGTTCCTTTTGTTTTGGCAGCAGCCTAAGACTCTACATCACATTATTTATTCAGGTTGGTCCGTTAGTGGGATGGCTTTTCAGTGCCAACATCTCAAAGCACCTGGGATTTTCAATGTTTTTTGGTGTCATTCCAGAAAAGATTACCAGACAATGGTGGATCAGTCGATCACTGAGTTTGTAACCGATCTTTTACATCCATCACTTTCAGACAATTGTAAAGGCTAACTACTACTGTACTGGGTGAGTTGCTACGATTAATCATGATCTTTTAAGTAAACAAATGACACCTTTTAAGTAGTTTATCTCACGTGCTATCCTTAGTCAAGTCTATCCTTCTAGAAAAAATGGTATGGTTTTAGTGGTTAAGGTAATGATGACAAATCCAATGGGTCATTTTGACAAAAGATTGTTTGGATTAACGAAATGGTGGGAGTATGTTTTAGTGGCTCCACATGCAATGCATAGTGTTGAATGCTCATCAATGGTCATGGATGACGCACATGATGCTCATACACACATAAAAAGAAAACTTGCAGCCAACATATCTATGCAAATGTAAGGCAGCAGACAATGCTTTTCACAAGTTAGTGGAAGGAGGAACCACTGCTTTTTATAGCTAGCTAGCTAAGCAGCAAAATAGTTGGAAGAAAGGAGAGAAGAAAGGTTAAAAAAAAAACAAGAGGAAGAAATTATTTTGCCTTTATTCGTTAGGTTGAGGTAAGAATAAGATCATACTATCTTGGAAGGAATTAAAGGGTAGCCTATGTGTGCACCAATCGAACACTTTGCACTGTTAGCTAGCAAAAAGGCATTTGTCATCATCGGTAAATCAAATGAGAAAAATACTGCAAAGGAGATGATGGTGATGCATCTCCTCTGACATTATGTCAAGTGGCATGGTCACTGACATAATGACATGCGGGTTTCAATAACCACGGGCTCCCACGTAAGTGATCATGTCAGAAGGTAGTTCACGTTAAAAGGGTCTTCTTATGCTCCCAATGTTTGCTGTTGATCTGTTTCGTTTTTAGACTATGTATTCATTATGAATTTTTAGGCAGAATGGAGGATATCTAGAATTTGTTCACCTTCAGTCCCATGCTGCACAAGCTGCGGCTAGTTCAGGATCCCAATAAGGCAGCACAAATCTGAAAACCATGTACCCAACATTATAAAATACAGTTTCAACTGAATTGTTCTGACAGAGAAAGGGAGAAACAAAAATCAATTCCACTGTGTAGGGTACATTAGTGGTCAAATTATTAAAGTTACTTTTTCCAAGGAGAGGGTAAGTGGAGTATCATGCATGGGTGCAATTGTATATAGATCATGACCTACTTTTTTGTTACTACTAGTTATACTGATCAGAGCCACTAATCATGTGGTTAGACTGGTAGTACCCTGCACGTTGCTATGGGAGATGAAAAGAATTGATGTGTTTGATTTAGGAGAATATTATACCAATATTCACTTTTAAATGCTTGTAAAGTCTGTTCTGCAAGTATATGCCAAGTAGCCAATCCTGTAAAGAACATTCTAATGGACCAAAAAATGCATCTATCATGCTGATTACAGGAGGAGGCGTCGCCGTGGTGGTGGCAGAGGGAGAATGGAGAAGGGATTCCGATCCAGTTCCGGGGGTCATTCTCGCTGGAGATGCCGTTGCTCTGGTCTGCCCTGGAGGGTTTCCTCCCAGAAGCGGCTTCTCCGGCCACCTTCCGTCGGGCAGCCTGGCTCGCTCTGGTTTGGCGGATGGAGCAGAGGCGCAGTGTGCACTCCGCCGTGTCGCGAGTGGCCGGCGCAGATTCCTTCTGGGCCGGCGAGCCATCCAGGTGCGGCTCCTGATCTACTGAAACAATGTACCTACTGAGTACTGATTACTGTACTGCCATGGTATCTCCGCATATTGGAGAGAAAAGTTTTGGATGTGATCTCAAAATGATGCTGGCTAGTATTATGATTCATAGTTTGATTTTTATCTGCGCTTATCTGCAATTTAGTGCAGCCTGTAGGATAGTTGGGTTTGTAGTTTGTCTCTCTTTCCAGAAATGCTTGCAGAATCCATACACAGTTTGGGAACCACAAGCATGTGGCAATAAGGCATTTGACACCCAAATGATTTGTGCAACCAAGAATGTGGCAACCATAGACATCCAAACAAAATTCTTGAACGAAAACCTGAGGAGAATTGTGAAACATTCATGGCTGCAGTATTACTGTCGACAGAACATAAACGCTGTCGAAAGATAAACTGAACACAAAAACTCTCTTTTTTTTTCCTTGAACATAAATACTCTGCAAACAAAATTGAACATAAGCACAATGTACAAAGAAAGTTATATATTTGTAAAGTACGTTGCTGCACGCATTCGGGAGACGGAAGATATCACACTGCATGAGTTGAATAATCTTCTAGTTTTTTCTTGCTTTTGCAGACAAGGCTTTCACAGTTTCACTCAAGTACTCAACCTTGACTATGAGAGGCACTGCTCTTCATCGGCTTGATGTGTGTTCACACATCAGCTCATCAGCTGCGAGGTCCGGACACTGTTTCCCTTCCGGATCACTGCATCTCAATCCCAGGACATATCTCCAGCGTCTTTTAACAGGTATTTCTGATGTTCTACCTGATCCTGTTGTGTTACCAGACTCAGGCTCCTATTGGTGAGCTTCATCTGCAATCTGCACGCCAGCAGCGGACTGGGCCTTGTTACTAGACTCAGACTCCTCTTCTTGAGCCTGATCTGCGATCTCCACGTCAGCACTGAAGGGAGTGTGGACGTTGTTGCCAGGCTCAGACTCCTCTTCTTGAGCTTCATCTATAATCTCCACACCAGCAGCAGAAGTTTGGACATTGCTGCCAGGCTCAGACTCCCCTTCTTGAGCTTCATCTGTAATCTCCATGTCAGCAGCAGACTGAGCGTGGATGTCGTTGCCAGGCTCAGGCTCGTCTTCTCGTGCTTCATCTGCAATCTCCACATCTGCTTCAGCAGCTTGCTGCAGCACCTGCTCCGCTGGTTGATTCTGCACGCCTGCTTCACGAGCTTCAATTCCGTTTTGGGCATCTTCCACCATCGCATCATCTTCGACATTGTGGCCACCCTGAGGTTCTTCTGCTGCAGGCTGAGGCTGAGGCTGGACGTTGGCATCTCCAGGCGCATCGTCCTGATCTCGCCACAGGCTGCTCTTCTCGATGCCGCAGTACCAGAGCAATCCCCAGATGAAGGTGATGAGCTCCCCTCCGTACTCGAGGCAAATCTTGTGTGCCTCAGCGTTCCAGCTGGGCGCAATGTGCACGAGCAAATCAGCCCATACACCCGCCAGGATTTGCCACCGCTGCTGATCGTCTGGAATTGTTTCAAGCAATTGCCTTCCCAGTACCGCGCCTTTCTCTACGATGGTCCCGTTCAGTTTTTTCAGTTCAGCAGCTTCGGGTGAGAACAACCCATTGAGCTTGTCATACTTTGTCAGCAAGGAGTCGCGGTCATTCATAATATCAGAAGCGCCAAGCTGTCAGGCAACAGGTCAGGCTGAAAAACCACCAAGTGCGCGCAGTATCGTGACAAGCTGTTTGCAACAATGTAGCTAGTCCGGAGTTGATCATCACCGAGAATATTTTCAGCAACGAGGTACGGCTGAGGAGTGCAGCAGCAGCCGCAGAGAAAAATTTTCAGGTACGTGAAGGCGGAGCGCAGGAGCCCTGGTTTGCTCAGGTCAATGCCCCTGTCTCGGGCGAGCTTGATCTCGCACATGGAGGTCGCGATGTGCCAAACCAGAATGACCTGGGAGCACGTGTACAGGTCAAGCAACGCCCATCGGAAATCCTCAAGCAATCTCGCGGCGCTCAACGATGGGACGTCTCGGGGAAGCTCGCGGCCGCCCAAGCCAGCGAGATCCATTGAGCGCAATGCCTGAAGAATTGCAGGTTTTACACATTCTGGGATCTTGATGGCGGTGCCAGGCTTTTGCCCTTTTACCCTCTCTTTGATGACGCCTAGAGTAGCACGGTACATCAGGTTCCAGAGCGACGGGCTGTAATCAAATGACTGCAAGAAGTCGTACTGGTCGATGTATCCATGCCAAGGGTCAGAAAAGATCTTACGACTTAAAAAGGAACTTAACGTTAGAAAGGAACTTAACAGCTTCTCCATCGTGGCGTTTCTTATCCACCTGCATCTGGACCGCGTATACTCGCACACAAGGAGAAGCCTTGTCCAGTCTGATAGCAAGTAAGTGATCATCTCCCAGATCTCTTTGAACATCATGAAGGACATGAACACCCATGTGATTGTCACCTCCACATTATGGCCGTGCACGACATTGACGGGGTCCGGAAGATCTTTCTTGACCCTATTGACGCCCGAGGCGAGCCAGAGGGCGAGTCCCAAGGCCGCGAGAGACTGAAGAACACTCAAGGAGAGAGAAGCAAGGCCTTGCCAGAAGACGATAGGATAGAGGGTGTAGAAGTAGTCCTTGAGGAACGAAATCTCCAGCTCCATTATCCTGAACACCCTCGCAGGGTTCTGGTCGACATGCAATATTCTTGTCACTATCAGATTCCGCGACATGGAGAGGCTGTCTGCGTCCAGCCTCACGTCTTCGAGCCTGCACCGGAGAAACCTCGACATGGAAAAGGCCAGGCACAGATCCTTGCAGTCGTCTCCGTGAACGCTGTTGGCGGACTGTAGCACCGGCCCGTCAGATCGCCAAATCTTGTCCAGTGTGACCAGCAAGTTTTCATCGGTGACATTGAGATAGAGAGCATATCGAGGCCTCAGTAATTTGATCTTCTGCTTGGACTCGCCATGGACCAAGTATTTGTATCCGTCCATCGTTTCCGCGTTGTGGACACCGGATGCCAATCCTCCCCTCCCAAAGTTGTTACGCATGTACTCTGGAAGGAGCTCTTAACTGCGGCCATGCCACAGGGATAACAGCGCAAGGCTCTGTGCGATGAACCGGTACATGGACCGCAGTAGCAGAACACACCAAATCGACCAGAGGGGCCTCACAAACATGGAGCCTCGGGTGCGATTCAAGAACGCTACTCCCAGAAACTTGATCACATTTCCCAGCTCAGTGATATGTCGTACCCGGTCAGGTATACCGTACCTGGAGAGATAGCCGATGCTAGCATGAAGACTCACCAGCACAATTGACCAGACAGGGAAGAGCTCATTGCTGAAAGGCGCAGCTTGCATGGTGCCCAACAGATACAGCACTATGCGGTCAGAGATACGATCGACCTTGTCCAAAGTGGACATGGTGCCAGAGCCGCGAGACCGGGCACGGTAGATGTCCATGGTAAACATCAGAATGAACGCCACCGTAACAAACGACACCAGTGATTCGATGCGAATCAAGACGTACACGTCCTCGCGCAACGTAACGAACCAGGATGAAATGACGGCACGAGGGTCCACCATATTCAGAGTTGTGTTATTACGTTCTTCCGGGTTCCTGCACGCGGCCACAGGCAATACTTGTATATATCAACCTGGATGTTAATTTAGATACTAGTAGTCCATAACCCATGCATTCGTATATGATGAAGGCTTATCTACTTTGTATCTCAGTTTTGTTGAATTTCAGTTTATAACTAGTATGGCGGTCCGTACATATTGCCGGTTAATATTGTTCTATTTTATTTCTCACCGAATAGCATATATGGGTTAATTCACGAATTCATTTATAGGCCAAATAAATGAATAACCTTATTTGGCCTATCTTACACCGTTAGGTGCAGCCCGTCGGGTGAGGATGGCACAAACCACAAAGGTACGTTGGCACGTAGGTCGGCAAGGCTCTGGCGGCGTGGCGCCCGGGCCTATCGCACGATGCGACATGTTCCACAGAAGAGGAAAGTCTTGATGACCCAGCAACGATACCAGTATTTGTGCTAGGGATCGATAACTTGTGATGGGCCAATAATGTGTAGTGAGCCTTGCATTTTCAGGTGGAATAAGTCCATTGTGACTCCTTTAATTAAGTAGTGGAATCAGCCATGCGGCGATAGCGGAGGGGAGGCGGATGCAATGGCAGGAGAGAACGGGCAGCACGGGGAGGTGGCACGAGATGAGACGGAGCGGGGTGGCCGCCAGGGCCACGACAATGCACCGGTGGCGGAGCAGGTGCAGAGGCTTTCATCACGCGGGGTTGAGGGCAGTAGCTGAGGGAAGGCAGAGGCAGTGGTGGGAGGGACAATGGCGTGGGATGAGATAGAACGGGGCGGCCGCTGGGGGGGGGGGGGGGGGCGACGACGGCACGCCGCTGGCAGAGCAGGCGCGGCGGCTTTCCCCATGCGGGGTTGAGGATGGTAGCAGTGGAGGGGAGGCTGTAGCAGGAGGGACGGCGGCGTGACGACGACCTCCTCACCGCTGCCACCATCCTTGCTCGCACTCCCTCCTTCTCGATGGCGACAAGCGGAAGGGGGCAGCGGAGGCAACGACTGGAAGAGGGAGGGGGGTGGAGGCGGTGGCGGGAGGGATGGTGACGCGACAATGGCATCCCCTCGCATCGCCACCGCCATCCTTGCTCATGCCTCCTCCTCGACGGTGGCGAGCGGAAGGGGGTAGCGGAGGGGAGGCGGAGACAGTGATGGGAGGGACGGTGGCGCGATGACAACCTCCCTTCTGACAGCCATGCCATCCTCGCTCATGCTTCCTCCTGCCCGACGGTGGCGACGCGACAACAGCCTCCCGTCATCACCGCCATGCCCTGTTGCTTCCGCCAGAGAGGAAAGTGAGGAGGGGAAAGGGAATGAAGAGAATAAAGAATGTGTGACATTGACGTGCGAGTCCCATAGTGTGACTTAGCGGGTTAGACCAAGTCAAAGCGCCACGTCAGCGGAACCGCTCTACAAAACTGTTGAGGGAATAAAATTGCACCGATTTTCATAGTTGAGGGGTCAAGATATCCGGTATTACGGTTTAAGGATATGAATCATATTGGAGTTATAGTTGAGGGAGTCCAAATTGTCGATGTTTTAGATCACGACTACGGTATTTGCATGGTGTGGGGATCGTTGGTATCAGGGTATATGTGAGATTAAGGTTAAAGAGACAGAGATAATGATTTTTATATAGGTTTGGGCCCCTCATTCATCAGAATCAGGTAATAGCCTTACTCCTGTTGGTCGAAGCCGGTGTTGCTTTTATTCATCAGAATCTCACAAGTACAATAATTGGGATAGCCTATCTAGTCGTCGTCAACTTGGCGACATAAACACCAACACGTAGTTGACGACAGGGTAGTCTTCCTCCTCGAATACATACTCGGCCAGATCAGAGATAACACTAAATCCCTCTTGACGGCCTCCGATGGCACTAGATTGGGTATGTCTAGGCTAATCTCCGATGTCGATGTCTAGCGGTGTGTATTGGTTTGTTCAGGCTTGTCTTGGTTTTGTGTTGTCTCTCCTTCTGGGGTATTGTATTTATACCCATATATGTCCCCTTGTCCAAGTAAAACTAGGGAGATAAATATGATACAATATGGGTAGTCCTTATCGTTTCCAGCTTGAACTCTATTTGTTCTTCCTTATCCGGAACTCCTTCTATATATACAAGGCATGATTCCATATAAGACTTAATATATGGTGGGTTCTGCCGAGTTTAGTCGATTACTTTTGGATATGTGTTATCCATAACCCTGCCAACAATTGACTTATTCCTTTTCAGGTCTCATGTTGGCATGTTGCCTTGCGACAATAGGCTCTTCTACAGGCAAGAAGAGAATTAACAGGCAGGCAGTACTAGGAGTAACCAATTAATGGCTAGAGGCTAGTTGCCTACCATGAAACCAAATAACCGACGAGAAACTTCAAAATATACTGTGTTACACAACTTCTTCCGCGTCGTCCTCCCTCACGGGCGACACGGGAGGCGGCAACCCCGCGTCGCCCCCCCTCCTTCCTCCTCCGCCGCGCCGCCGCCCGAGCGGCCGCAAGGATGGCGGCGGCGGGGCTTCATTCTCTCGTCGCGCCGGCAGTGGGGGGCAGCACGGGACGGTGTGAAGACCGCCCAGATCTGGGCCGCCGCGGCTAGATCTGGTGGGGAGGCGGCCGGCGGTGGGGCAGCGTGGTGAGGCGGCGGTGGCTAGCGGTGGTGGCAGTGGGGTCCAGAGGTGGTGGCGACGGAGAAGGCGAAGAGGTGGCGGCGGTGGAGGTGGTGTCTGGTGGTGGCAGCGGCGGCGGCGGCTTCTAGTGGTGGCCGTCCGCTGGTGGTGGCGACGGCGGCAGTGACGTCTGGTGATGGCGGCAGCTAGCGACCACGGCGATGTGGCGACCGTGGCAGGCCAGATCTGGTCGAACGATGACCGGCGATGGTGACCTGCGACGGCAAGCCGCGGGCGTGGCTGCCTACGGTGGAAGGCGACGGCGGCGGCGGCGGCGGCGACGGCGGTAGCTGCTGTGGTGGTGGCAGCTGCAGGGGTGGTGGCAGCGGCTGGGGCAGCTCCAGTAGTGGTGGCGGCGGCGGTGGACGCGTCGTCGGCAACAATGGAGGATGTTGCAATGGCAGCATGGTGGGTGCGGACACGGTATCAACGCCTGGAAATGGGCGACGGCGACTGCGAGAGGAGGCACGAACGGCGACAGCCGGGGAGGCATGGCAGATGACTGTATTTGCGCGGCAGCGGCAGGAGGAGTGCTCGGGGGCTAGCTTGACGCGTAGAGCCGTGGTCGGTGGCAGCGGAGGCCGGCTCGGCGCTTGGAGGCGGGCTTGGCGCGAGGAGACGCGGTCGGCAATGGGAGCCTAGCTTGGCGCGATGAGGCGCAGCCGGCGATGGACGAGACTAGCTTGGCGCGGTGAGGCACGACGCGACGAGGCGCGGCCGGCGGCGACGGAGCCGGGCACGGTGTGAGGAGGAGGAGCTGCCGGTAGATGCGGTGGGCGCTGGTGCAGTGGACCCACATGTTGGCAGAGGTTGGACGGTGGTGGAGCATCTGGGCGCCAGCCGTGGACTTGTAGGTGATGAGTGGCGGGTGAAAACCTAGCCTAGCCTCGGCCGGGCCGGCAATGATGACGCTCAAAGCGTCATTCCCCTCCTGAGGGCGTTGTCGTGCCGTCTCATCCCTCATGTGTGGATGCCGAACGAAAGCCCAGTCTCGGTTCTCTTTAAGACCTTGACGGACGGCGGCGGCGGTAGTGTTCTCCGTCGCTTCTCTCCTTGGAGACGTCGTCTAGGCATCCCCTAGCCGAAACCCCACAACCAATTGGTGCAAGCTCCCTCTAGATTTCATCCTCTTGTAAGCGGCGTACTAGTCTCTACAAGTTGGCCACGTCGGAAGGCCTAAGGGGGAGAGGTGTTCCATTCTTCTCTCTCACCCTCTCTCCATAACTCCTGAAGACTTGGATAGAGCGGGGCTTTGTGTTGATTGTAAGGGTTGGGTTTTGGGCGATCTCGGCCGTGGTTCTTTGTTAGCATAGTGGCAGCTGGTCACGCTTAGCGGTGGCCGGTCTAGTGCTAACCTTCTCTTGGTTCTGTGTGTTGGCGCTGTTGATGTGTGGGTGATGGTGGTATACTTTTTTTTTTTCTGGTTACGACCTTCCTGGTTGTAATCTTATAATTTTAATAAAACATCGCACCGTCTTGTGTGATTCGTTAAAAAAAAATAGCCGACGACAGAACGCCTTGAAGAAGAAATCGCTGATGACATGCACCTTCCATAAAGGAGTCAACGAACGAACGTCAACATTTAAGATGTGAGAGAACTGGGGATGTGATTTATCTTGGTATTCTGAAAGAGCTTGGCAGGATAGTACATTTCTCGATCGAGCGAGAGCAAGCAGAAGATAAATTTATGGCCTAATGGTTCTCTGAAGTCTGAAGACTTTGATTAATCTCAGCTGTTTCATAAGAGATAAACTCGAAGATCTTTTACATCTCCAGATGAGGCACCAGCAATCCATGTCGATAGACATATATAAGAGTATAAAGGCTGATCAGAGCGTATACGTACCTCAATACGAAGTTAAGCCGATCGAGACCGAGCAAGCTTACAGCGATGATCGACCTCCAGATGGCACCACTTTGATCTCTGCTCGAGACCCCGCGCACTTGCGTACTCTGGCCAGAAATTAGCTCGACTCGAAGCGGAACACATTGTAAGTTGACATATGAATCTATATATATACAACAAGAAACACCGTAGCTTTGACAGACTTAGCCAATCACTTGAACATACTCCCTCCGTCCCTTAATACGAGGGATTTTGACATTTTACTTACACTGTTTAACTATTCATCTTATTCAAAAAAAATTAGAATTATTATTTATTTTATTTGTGACTTATTTTATTATCCAAAGTACTTTAAGCACAACTTTTCGTTTTCTACAGTTGCACAAAATTTTTAAATAAGACGAGTGATCAAACAGTACAAGCAAAATGATAAAATCCCTTGTATTAAGGAACGGAGGAGGTATACAATAAGAAACACCGTGACATATAAATAGAGTTAGAGGTTGTACCTTTGAAGCCACCAGCTTGACCATCAAATTAAATAGAGAAGCTTAACACATGTTTCAGACAGTTGGCATCAAGCTCATTATCTAAGAAGCATCCATCAATCCATCAAGTGGATAAATTTAATTCTACCCCCAGATTCCTCATTTCGTTATTTTTTATACTCCTTCCAATTTCACAATTCTTGATGTTGTTGGGATCAAACTATTACAACTTTGACTATCAATCATTTCAAAAATATTTAGTTTGAATACACTAAAACAATATATATAGACTAATCCTAAAAAGTGCTATAATAAAATTAGATGTTCAGTTATTGTATAGGTTAGTGTTCTAAATATGGGATACCCTATACTTGTGTACAACGCGACCCACTATATACCAAGTCCAATATTGAATCAAGCCTTATACATATGGCAAAAGTTCTGAATAAATAAAGAAAGAGCTCCAAATAAGAAAAAAGAAGCAGAGTCATATTCCGACTTGAGTTGACTAGTCGGATCATACCCATAAAGCTGAGAAATCCGACTTCTAGTTTATTTTCTAGATTTTATAACTCCAAATTTTTAGAATCTAGGAGAATTTAAACTGTTTAGGAGCTGGAACTTCTTGAAGAAGCTATAGCAGCTAGAAACTCTCCCAAATAGGAGAAAAGGTCCATACCATGTCCATATACCCTAATAATAGCCCAACCCAATTCACGTTAGCATTCTAATTAATTGTGTTTTGTGATGTACCGTTGAATGTTGAGACTTGAGATTGTAATTGGACTTGATAAAGTTTGAAGCTCAGTTTGAGGTGAGGGGGGGGGTTGTATTTCAATAAATTTTCGTTACAGTATCCGTGTCAGTTAGTATTCTCTATGTTTTCGGTTTCGACAATATTTGATTCCGTCTCAACATCCAAGGTTTCTGGTTCCAATTAATTCCCCCCGAAAAATGAAAATGGAATCGATAGAGGTAGTTTCCATTCGTTTCCATACCGTTTTCATCATGTGTCTATTTGACGCATGCATGCTCGCTACATAAGGAACTATCGAGCACTTCAAGGCTTAAGAGAGGCAAAGTCGTTCCCCTTCCTCTTTCTCATCTTCTCCTATTCCACCACCGATTCCATAACAGCTAGCGAACTGCTGCCAATTTGATTGAAAACTGTACAAAACGTCTTGTTCCTCAACCACCTTGAACTTGTCTTGCAGGGGAAAGTTGTGGAGGAACAAGATATTTAGGGGGTGTTTAGATTCAGGGGTATAAAATTTTGGCTCTTGTCACATCGGATATTATATAGGGTATCGCATGGAGTGTTCGAGCACTAATAAAAAACTAATTACAGAATCCGTAAGTAAACCGCGAGACAAATTTATTAAGCATAATTAATCTATCATTAACACATGTTTACTTAGCACTACATTGTCAAATCATGGAGCAATTAGGCTTAAAAGATTCGTCTCATAAATTAGTCGTAATCTGTGCAATTAGTTATTTTTTAGACTATATTTAATACTTTATGCAGGTGTTCAAATGTTTGATATGACAGGGTGTAAAGTTTTGGAGTGTAATCTAAACAGGACCTTAGGCACGGTTCGGCCACTTAGGAAAGGCTAAAGATTTATCTCGTTTTTCACGCGCGCACGTTTTCCGAACTATCAAACTGTTTTCAACCAACAAATTCTATAGGTGTAACGCTCCGCTTTTCGTATGACGTTAAAAACTAATTCGGCAAAACCCTATTCTCGAAAATTTTCGTTCTTTGAGTGTAAGTCTAAGTCGTGCCAAGATCTCAATTTAAATCCGTCCTTGATCCCTCTCATCGCCATCAAAAATCGCCTCCTCGGAATCCATCTTCCATTTCAACCTTCCGAAATATATTTCCGAAATTCAACCTCCTCCTTTGAACTCATCGCCAAATACTTGTCCCCGTTCCCAAAAATATCAAAATCTCATTTTGAATCTCTTCCTTGACTTCTCCTCGAGTCTCCCTTGATTCCTCCCTAAACCCTCGAGTTCGAATATCAAATTTGAATTCGAATCTAAACCCTAAACCTCAACAATTCAACCCCTCTGAAAAAGTCTATTGTGCCTTCCTCTGCTTTTGGATGGACCGATGTCCTCCTTTGGCCCATCTCTCTCTCGGCCCGTTCTCTCTCTCGGCCCGTTCTCTCTCTCCGCCTTCCCCTCCCTCGCTCCGCACGTGCGGCGCACGCGCGTGCGCATGAACCATCGCCGAGCCGAGCTCTCTCTCTCTCTCGGCTTCCCTCTCTCGCCAACCGATTTCCGCCGCCGCCTTGCAAATCCTCCCGCCACCGCCATTGCTTTGGGCGCCCGCGACCGGTCAAGGCCGACCGCCCGGTCGCCCGCCGCCGTCAGCGCCTGCGCTGCCTGGCCCTGCAACCCCACGCCGCAACCATCCAAATCACGGAGGCAGCGTCTCTCTCGTGCCCTCCCCCTCCTTCGTCTCTCCTAAAAAAAACGGCAAAGAACAGAGCCCCTTTCTCCTCTCCTTTTTCCACCTTTGCCCGACACCGCCGGCGTCATCACCTGCCGCCTCCTTGGCCGCACGCGTCGACCGCCAGCTTGCCGCCCTTGCATCCTTGACAGCGCACGAGGTCGGTTTCCTCCCTCCACAAACAGACATTCCTCCACTATAAAACCCAAGCCGCCCCAAACCCCTTCCTCTCTCGTTTTCACTCGCCTCGCACCCACCGCGCCATTGCCGCCGAACCACCGTCGCCGCCTTGTTGCCGCTCGACCCGATCTCGCCGTCGCCGTCCGCCGCCGAGCATCGGAGGAACCGGTGCGTGCGTGGGCGCGTGACGAGGAGCTCCGGGCGCCACCTCTCCCCTCTTGTTCCCCGGCCGCGCCCTCTCGGTGTCGTGCCGCCCCGCCGTCGCGACTGCCTCGCCGCGACGCCATCCGTCTGCCGACGCCGTTCCCGCTCGTCGGTGAGCTCCCGGTCCAAATCCTCTCATCTACATCCTCTAGCGACTCCTAAACAGCACTGGGACATGGTAGTTTGTGCGTTCGTCCTCCAAATCGGGCCCTTGCCGATGCTCTACTTCCGCGGCCGCCGTGAGCAGTCGTGCGCTACCGCCGGTCGGTCCCGCGCCGAATCCCCTCGCCGCCACCCACCTCGAGCTCCAATGAACCACCCCAAACCGCCAATTCCGCCGCCGGCCTCCTCTTTTGCTCCCTTCCCGCCCTTCCCGCCGCCGCCGCAGACAGTCGTGCGTCGCTGTCGGCTCCCCGCTCATCGATTCCTCGCGCCACCACCCTCCTTGAGTCCCCTTGAGCCACCCCAAACCGTCGCCCCGACCGCTGGCCTGCCCTCCAACTCCGGCGCCATGTCGCCCGACTCGCCGCCGCCGCGCATGGCCGCGTGCTGCCGTCGGTCTCCCTCTCTTCAAACCGGCTCGCCATCGCCTTCCTCGGGACCCCCTCGACCTCCCCAAACCTTTCCCTCGGCCGCCGACCTCCCCTTCCGCTCCGGCGCCGTGCCTCCCCTCTCGCCGCCGCCGTGTGCAGTCTCCCGCCGCCGTCGGTCCTTCTCCCTACGAATCCCATCGCCATCACCCTCCCCGCGTCCCTAGCAGCCTCCCCGGGACATCGCCTTGGCCGCTCCCCTCCTCTCTCCCCCTTTTCGCCGCGTCGCCCCTTCCGCCGCCGCGGAGCGCCACCGCGAGCCCAAGTCCGGCAACCATCGGTCTCCGTGCCGTCGCGTGTGCGTCGCAATGCCGAATCGTTTCGGCTAAGCCTGGCCCCGCGCGCTCTTGGCCCTTCCCTCGCGCATCCACGTCGGACATCCGGCGAGCTTCGCTGCCGCCGCCGGCCGCCGTCGTGCCTCCTCTCTCTAATCCGTGCCGGTGAACCGATTCCCCATCTCCTCCTCTCGCCACAGGTGTCCGCGCCTCGCTCCGTCTCGCCGCCGTTCGCCGGGACGCTCCGCGCGCCGCCGGCCGTCCGATGCGGTCTCCGGCCTCCTCTTTCCCTTGCGCTTGCGTGGCATCCACGTGGACGCCACCTCATCTGCCGACCCCACCAGACCGAGTCAACCCCTGCCCAGTCAGCCGTCCCCTTCTCTCTCTCCGCGCTCGTGGGCTTGGCCCATTGGCCGGCCTCCCTTCTCGGCTTAAGGAAACAAGAAAAGTCCACTTCTAGTCCCTCCCTCCAAGCCCAGTGTCCATCCCTCATGAGCTAAAGTCCATATCTGCTCCCTCTCAATTTACGCTCTCACCTTCTTGTTTGCCCCACTTGTCAATGAGTCAAAATATTCTCGAGAATATCTTTTCCAATAATCCACAAATATTCTCTTCCATAAATTTAATAAATCCTTTTTTCCCTTCCATAAATCAATTTTCCTTATTCCACAAATATATCCCCATGTCCAGAAAATCCAATTAAACTTCCAAAAATCATATCTCTCGATCCGTAACTCCGATTAACCTCCGTTCCACTTCCAATAATTCCGTAAATTTGAGATCTATCTAATGTCACTATTATTTAGTCTAAATAGGATCTTCTCTTGGTCTTTTGTTTAGGTTTTGATTGTTTGCGTATAGTTGCGGTTACCGGATTTTTGTCGATCGTGGGATTTCTCGAAGATTCGTGAAGCTTCGTGAAGATCTTGAGCAAGGCAAGTCACCCTTTAACCAATTGCTCCTATAATTAGAAAATCATTATTAATTTGTTTGCAACTCGCATTATTAGTGTTGGCGGTATGGCATGAGGCCCTTCGACCAAACCTGCTGAAACCATGCGAAGAGTGGGGATTCAAGCCCGAGACGTCAAAGTTAGTCAGGGCGAAGTCCCCCCATGGCGAAGACTATGGAACAGGGACGGCGAGAGGTGAGGGATCACGTGGGTGCTTTGCCAAGCCAAAGGCCTCTTGGGCGAAGGATGCAGGGCGAAGAATATATGCCGAAGGGAGACGACTTCGCCATAGCAAGTTCTCCCCCGCGAGGACCGAAGAAGCTTTTCCGGCCCATCAAGCCTAGGGGCTATTGGGCCGACGATTGCCCAACGGCCATCAGGGGCCCATGAACCTCAATTACACTATGTACCCATGTAAATGTCCCTTTCTAAGGGCAACCATGTAAATTCCCCTGTATAACCAAAACCATAGTAGTAAGAATCTGTAATGGGGGCTATAAATAGTCTCATAGGGCCATGTAATAGGGGGATCCGAAGAAAAATTCTCAAATTAATACATTTTACTTCTTTTCCAACCACTGTTGGGTGACCACGTCTTTGACGTATGCGGTTGTCGTTTCGACAACAGCTGGCGCCGACCGTGGGGACCTCCGAGCGAAACCACTGAGAGCGAATGCCACCGAAGAAGGTTGTGAAGGAGAAGGTTACGAGGCGAAAGGAAAGCGACGCCGGGACGGATATGGCCGCCGAAGAGGGAGCAGAGCCTTCGGCGCCTGTCGCCGAAGATGGAGGAGCGCCATCTGCTTCCGCACCTGCGCCATCACTACCGCCTTCGGCCCCTACTGCCTCTGTGCAGGTGCCGAACGCGGCTGACATGGCGAAGGTGGCTGCGGTGGCGAGGGCACTCCAGACCAGGACGGAGATCCTTTCGACAAGCCAATTGCTGGTGCCCCAAGCCGCCCCATCGTAGCCGGCAGTGGCCCCAACTGCGCTCGCCGCTGCGCAAGCCCAAGTCAACCTTGACCCCGAGACACAAACCGAAGCCGACATGGAAGCCATGCGACAGAACATGAGACGACTCCAAGACATGCTTCGCCAAATGCAGGAACAGCAGCAAGCGTACGAGGCGGCAAGGCGGTCCAAGGTCACTTCGGCACCAATCCTCCAGTATTCGGCAGGCTATGTCCCACCCCAAGTCTATCCACAAGTGCCGACCCAGCCCCTTCCGCCACAAGCCGCACAAGCGCCAATGTACTTCGCCGGGCAGCCATCGACCGCAGCAGCGCATCCGGCCCCTCACGTGCAACTGCAAGCTCAACCGGTTGCTGCCCAAGTACATCCTCAACCGCCTGGCCAAGTGCCACATACAATGGCAGAAGGGGCTTCGGCTCTGCAGGCGCAGCTCCAAGCTTTCCTTCAACAGCTCAGCCAACCCCACAACATTTCAAGTACTGCCCCTTCGGCTCACCCGGAGGGGAATACAAGTCATGGTGCACCTAGTTGGTTGCCTTCGAATCAGCCAGGTCTGGGGGCTTCGCCGTGGAGTCAAGGACTGCAGTTCGACTCCATCAATGTTGCTCAGGCGCCAACCGTTCGGCTGCAAACACCAACGCCAGGCTTCGGAGCAAAGCAAGCACCAAACCAGGTCACCATGACATGGTCACAACCAACTTTCGACCCATCCATGGCGGCTCAGCAAACATCACCAATCGGGGCCGGGCAGCCGAATGCCATGGCCCAACCACACGCGCAAGTCGTGATTTTGCCCTTCGCCACACCGTACCCGCAGCAAGGTGCCGTGAACAGGGCAGGGGGCGAAAAGGGGCTACCGCTCAGTGGGGGAATCAAGACCCATCCAATCCCACCCCAGTTCAAGTTCTCACCCGTCCCACGCTACTTAGGCGAAACTGACCCAAAGGAATTCCTCTCCATTTATGAATCCGCGATCGAAGCGGCTCATGGCGACGAAAATACCAAGGCAAAGGTAATACATCTCGCCCTAGACGGCATCGCCCGCTCTTGGTATTTCAATTTGCCAACCAATAGTATTTACTGATGGGAGCAATTGCGCGATGTCTTTGTCCTTAACTTTCGAGGCACCTATGAGAAGCCGAAGACGCAGCAGCATCTACTCAGCATTCGCCAGAGGCCGGGGGAGTCGATAAGGGAGTACATGCGTCGCTTCTCGCAAGCCCGGTGCCAAGTTCAAGACATAACCGATGCGTCTATCATAAACGCCGCTTCAGCTGGTCTACTCGAGGGCGAACTCACAAGAAAAATTGCCAACAAGGAGCCGCAAACGCTTGAGCACCTACTTCACATCATTGACGGGTTCGCAAGGGGCAAGGAGGATTGCAAGCGACGGCAAGCAATACAAGCCGAGTACGATAAGGCCTCCGTCGCCGCTGCTCAAGCCCAACAACAAGTTCAAGTTGCCGAACCACCTCCTCTCGTGGTTCGCCAGCCCCAGCCGGCGATCTAAGGACAACTGCCAAGGCAAGGTCAAGCCCCCATGACCTGGAGGAAGTTCAGAACCAACCATGCGGGCAAGGCTGTGATGGCTGTCGAAGGAGTGCAAGCCCTTCGCAAGGAGTTTGACGCCCAGCAAGCAAGCAACCATCAACAACCTGTCCGCAAGAAGGTCTGAAAAGACCTCTACTGCGCCTTCCATGGACGCTCTTCACACACCACGAAGCAATGCCGAAACATTCGGCAACGTAGCAACGCGCAAGATCCAAGGACGCAACAGGGAGCAGCGGTCGAAGCAACTCGTGAAGTAGCTCAAGAACAAGCACCCCCGGCCGAACAACGCCATGATGCGCAGCGCAGAGTGATCCAAGTGATTACAAGGGCCGACCCACTGATACAACTGTCGAAGCGACAGAAGAAGATGCACCTGCGAACGGTCCACAATATCGCTTCGGCAGGGGCTCCGCAGTATCTGAACCAGCAAATCTCTTTTGAGCCAGAAGATGCCGAAGGATTAATGTTCCCGCATCAAGATCCTCTAGTGATCTCAGCCGATATAGCTGGTTTCGAGGTCCGGCGAGTCCTGGTCAACGGAGGAAGTTCGGCCGATGTCATCTTTGCCGAAGCATATGCCAAGATGGGGTTGACTACCCAAGCCTTTACCCCAGCACCAGCATCGCTCCGAGGATTCGGCGGAGAAGCAGTTCAAGTTCTCGGCCAAGCACAGTTGATGGTAGCCTTCGGCACGGGGGAAAACAGACGCGCAGAGCAAGTATTGTTTGACATTGTCGACATCCCATACAACTAAAATGCCATCTTCGGCCGTGCAACGTTGAACAAGTTCGAAGCCATTTCTCATCACAATTATCTCAAGCTCAAGATGCCCGGCCCGGCAGGAGTGATCGTGGTCAAGGGGCTTCAGCCTTTGGCTGCTTCAAAAGGAGATCTGGCCATAATCAACAGAGCAGTGCACAATGTTGAGGCCGAACCGCATGACCGGGCGAAGCATGTGCCAAAGCCCGCCCCTCACAGCAAGATAATCAAGATATAGATTGATGATGCCGACCCCGCAAAGCTCGTATCGTTGGGGGGCGACATGGGCAAAGAAGAAGCTGAGAACATCCTAGAGGCACTCAAGAAGAACATTGATATCTTTGCCTGGGGCTCTGATGAAGTGGGAGGTGTTTCGACAGATCTCATCATGCATCACCTGGCAGTCAAGCCAGATGCTAAGCCAAGGAAACAGAAGCTACGCAAGATGTCTGCTGATCGCCAACAGGCAGCAAAAGCCGAAGTCCAAAAATTGCTCAAGGCTGGAGTCATTCAAGAGATCGACCATCCTGAGTGGCTGGCGAATCCAGTGCTTGTGCGGAAGTCAAACGGAAAATGGCGCATGTGTGTCGACTTCACAGACCTAAACAAAGCATGTCCGAAGGACGATTTCCTCTTGCCACGGATCGACCAGCTTGTGGATTTGACAGCTAGCTGCGAACTCATGAGCTTCCTGGATGCATATTCCGGCTATCACCAGATCCACATGAACCCGGCAGACATCCCCAAGACAGCCTTCATCACACCATTTGGCACCTTTTGTCACCTCAGGATGCCTTTTGGCCTGAGGAATGCCGGAGCAACCTTCGCGAGGCTGGTGTACAAGGTCCTTTACAAGCAGTTGGGGCGAAATGTGGAGGCTTATGTCGACGATGTCGTCGTAAAAAGCCGCAAGGCTTTCGACCACGCGTCCGACTTGCAGGAGACCTTCGACAACTTGCGCGCGGCGGGTACGAAACTGAATCCTGAGAAGTGCGTTTTCGGTGTTCGCGCCGGCAAGTTGTTGGGTTTCCTAGTTTCTGAAAGAGGCATCGAGGCGAATCCCGAGAAAATTGATGCCATTCAGCAAATGAAGCCTCCGTTGAGCGTACGTGAAGTACAAAAGCTCGCAGGCCGAATTGCGGCACTCAATCGATTCCTCTCAAAGGCAGCCGAAAGAGGTTTGCCCTTCTTCAAGACCCTCCGGGGCGTGGAAAAATTCCACTGGACACCCGAATGCCAAGCAGCGTTCGGCGAGCTGAAGCAATACCTACAAAGCCCGCCAGCTCTGATCAGCCTAGCACCAGGAAGCGAACTGCTACTATACCTGGCAGCTTCGCCAGTGGCAGTCAGTGCTGCCCTTGTCCAAGAAATAGATTCAGGGCAGAAACCGGTCTATTTCATCTCCAAAGCATTGCAAGGAGCGAAGACAAGATACATTGAAATGGAAAAGCTCGCTTATGCCCTGGTGATGGCTTCGTGCAAGCTTAAGCATTACTTCCAGACCCACAAAGTCATAGTGCCATCGCAGTACCCTTTGGGCGAAATACTCTGGGGCAAAGAAGTTACCGGCCGGCTTAGCAAGTGGGCAGCAGAGCTATCCCCTTTTGACTTGCATTTTGTTGCCCGCACTGCTATCAAGTCCCAAGTGCTAGCTGACTTCGTGGCCGAATGGACACCGGCACTCGCCCCCGAGCCCGAGCCCGTCAAACAGCCCTGGGTGATGTACTCTGACGGTTCGTGGTCGCACAAGGGGGCGGGCATTGCGGCAGTGCTCATTTCGCCAAGTGGTGTGCCGATTCGGTATGCCGCAAGGCTGCAGTTCGACACGACCAACAACGCAGCAGAATACGAAGCCATTCTTCTGGGCCTAAGAAAGGCGAAAGCATTAGGGGTTCGGCGCTTGCTAATCCGAACCGACTCTAAGCTGGTGGCGGGCCATGTCGACAAGTCCTTTGAGGCAAAAGAAGAAGGAATGAAGAGGTATTTGGAGGTCGTTCGGTCTATGGAAAAGTGTTTCACCGGCATAACGGTCGAACATTTACCTAGAGGCCAGAACGAGGAAGCACACCTTGGCAAAATCTGCTGCTTGTGGTGGACCGCATTCGCCTGGCACCTTTTTTGAAGTCCTGTTTGCACCAAGCGTGCCTGTGGAGAGCTTGGAGGTCATGGCAATCGACTAGGAGAAACTGGGCGAAGATCCATACGACTGGCGAACCCCGTTCGTAAAACACCTTGAAACTGGCTGGCTTCCGGAAGACGAAGCAGAAGCAAAGCGCCTGCAACTCAGAGCCACAAAATATAAGATGGTCTCAGGCCAGCTCTATCGCTCCGGGGTACTTCAACCCTTGCTTCGCTGCATCTCTTTTGCCGAAGGCGAGGAAATGGCCAGGGAGATACACCAGGGGCTATGTGGCGCACACCAAGCCGCAAGAACAGTTGCTTCCAAAGTGTTTAGACAAGGAGTTTACTGGCCCACTGTGTTGAAAGTCTGTGTTGAGCAAGTCAAGAAGTGCGAAAGCTGCCAGCGCCATGGCCGAAGCCAAACATCGCCCCAGTATGAGTTGCAGCCCATCGCACCAATCTGGCCCTTCGCCAGATGGGGACTGGACATCATTGGGCTGTTCCCGGTGGCGTGAAACGGGTACAAGTTCGCAATTGTGGCCGTCGAGTACTTCTCTCAATGGATTGAGGCCGAACCCCTCGGAGCGATCACTTCGGCAGCAGTACAGAAGTTTGTATGGAAAAACATTGTTTGCCGTTTTGGGGTGCCAAAAGAGTTCATCACTGACAATGGCAAGCAATTCGACTCTGACAAGTTCAGAGAAATGTGCGAAGGGCTTAACCTGGAAATCAGGTTCGCATCGGTCGCGCACCCACAGTCAAATGGGGCGGCTGAACACACAAACGGTAAGATCCTAGAAGCACTAAAAAAAGGCTTGAGGGGGCAGCGAAGGGCAAATGGCCAGAGGAGATGCTATCTGTTCTCTGGGCCCTTCGAACGACCCCCACAAGACCAACCAAGTTCAGCCCGTTCATGCTTATTTATGGCGATGAGGCAATGACCCCGACAGAGCTAGGGGCTAACTCACCAAGGGTGATGTTCTCTGGGGACGAAGAGGGGCGCGAGGTGTCGCTCGAACTCTTGGAGGGGGTAAGAGTCGAAGCACTCGAGCACATACGCAAGTACGCCACAGGCACTTCGGCAACTTACAACAAAAAAGTTCGACCGATGGAGCTGTTGCCTGGTCATCTTGTCCTAAGGAAGAAGGCGAACCCGGTAGCCGTTGGCAAGCTTGAATCGAAGTGGGAAGGACCGTACCTCATCAAGCACAAGTCCCGGATGGGGTCCTTTCGACTGGCGACACTGGAAGGCGAAGAGTTCGACCATTCCTGGAACACTGTCTCTTTCAAGCATTTCTATGTCTAGAACGGGTGGCACCCAAATCGCCAACTTGTAAAAATGTATATATCATTATGTAAGCCCTTCAGCACAATGTAAGCCCTTCGGCACTATGTAAGCCTTCCGTCAAGAAAAGAAAAAAAAAAGAGGAAAAATGAAAAAAGACAAAAAAAACTGGATGTAGGGCTATTATCCACCACGGAGGCCCGAACCAGTATAAAATCTCTGTGTCCTCCGCCTTCTTTTTGTTTGTTTGTATGATTGATAATTTGTGGAAAAACCCCAAGGCAAACGCCTGATCAGCGAAAAAGGCCAGGGGGCGAAACGAATCGGCCGAAGCATCGCTCGCCAAACTTTGAAACCGCAACAGCTTGTTTCGGAGAACAACTAGCCGAACACCGTTACACTCGATCAAAAGGAAAGCACTCGTGCTTACAAAAATGATCAAAAATGGAAGCCGAAAGCTGAAAAGTCAAAACCTATTTCGCTAATATATGCAAAGGGGCCGACACGTTCTGACCCAACGAAAAGCACGCGAAGTGACAATGCAAAAATAGCGAAAAGAAAATAAAACGCACCTTTATTGATTTTGAATAAAAATGTATCGAAGAATACAAACCCATCACAATGGTACAAGTGATAAGAAAAGAGCAATGGCGTTACAACTCAGCTTACAGATAAATTACATCTTCGCCCCTGCGATCACTCTCTCTCTAAGGAATGATCAGGCGAACTAGGTTCGTCATCGCTACTAATATCATACACAACCCTAAGAGGAGAAGGGGGCGAAACACAGACTAGACTGTAACGACGCTGGGAGATCACCTCCTGCCG